GTATATATCATGCAAAAGTCCCTGCCCAGCAATGCAACGCACTGGTTGCTGGATTTTTCCACTTTTGAAAATTATACGGTGGCTGCATTTATTATGCCTCTCGCCTTTTTTTTTGCAATTGATGGCATCCGATAGGCAGGAGCCTGGCAGCAACTCGCTGGAGGCCAGGAAAATGTGCCTGCACTTGAATAAATCAGTATTTTATTTGTTTTTTTACATAAATACTAAAACAAATTTAGACATAGTTAAGAAATTTAAAGCGTAACTGAAAAGTTCCTCATTGTAAGGATAGAAGTTCTTCTCGATTTTCGTTGTTTTGTAAAAAGAAGTAATTTACAAAATAAAATTTAGTTCTGTATCAATTGTATATCTATCCAGGAAACTTCTGTTTTTTTTAGATGTTAGGCTTCAATGGAGTTTTAATAGACAAAAATACTAGTTTAAACTTATTAAACCATTTAAAATGTATTCTTAATCTATTTCTTCAATTTTTTTAGGGAATAATATCCTTATATCTGTAAAAAAACACTTTTTTGCTTGATCAATAGTTTGTTGTTAAGGGTAAATGTTAGAGCAGAGAGATTTGTGGATCTAGACGCTTGATTCAATTAAACCTCTTTAAAAACTAATCTAAACAGGGCAACTCATTATTATAAAATATAAAACTTTTATTTATGTTGTATATCAAATAATTTTGAGCTTTTCTCTCAGTTTTGACCATACTAATTAATCTTAAAATTATTTTGATTTTCCCAGGATTATAATACGATGCGCTCCAATTATTCTTCGAGTGCAGGAATGGTGAGAGTGGGTGGGGCAGTTGAGGTCGCATAGTTGCACTGCTGAATGAGATAGGCTGTGGTCTGGGCTTTTGCCTCTGACCATTCCAGCGGATCGTTTACATGTGCATTAATTCCTAACGCCGCTTAATTTTCTTCAAGCTTAATGGCTCCGCTTGATGCCTCTCTGCCTTTGTATCCGATTCAGATTCAGATTCCGATTCGGATTCGGATCCAGCCAGAGACTAAGTCGGAGTCAGTGTCCATTAAGCTGAGAATGCGTCTGGCTGACTGGCTGGCTGGATGTTGAAATTTCCATCTTTATGGCCGGCAGCAACAAATTGGAATAATGAACGTGGGTTCAATTATCGCAGCCAAACAATCGTGGCAGCCTCAAAGAGCGCTAATAGATTTTCTACTGCTGGTGGGTATGTGTATAACTGAGTTGAGTGCTTGTGCTTCCTCCGGAGGCGGCTCACACAGCTTTCTTTGCAAACAAATCCAAAGCAAAGCAAAAGCAAAGCTTAGCAATCCAAACCAAACCAAACCAGCGGTTCCACATCCGACCAAAGACAACAGATATGTTCGGTGCCGTTGGCAATTAGTGTGGAAATTTCACTTGCAGTTTTTAGCACAGATTAAGCTTACGATTTCTGAAGGGGATTAGCATGAACAATTATAGATGGAGGTCGTTGATAGTGTGTGTATAATAATACTTGTGCTCAAATCCCCAGCCATAAATGCCATTGTGTCGTTTACTTGGAATCGAGATTTGAAGACGGGTAACATTTGCCGTTACCGTTAGTAAAGGGAACCCCAACCCCCCGTTCTTCCCGCTCCCGCTCCCATGGCCTCCGGAATTATTCAAGTTAATGGCTGGTTACTTGAGTCGGTCATGCGATCACTCCAGAACTCGGACGCTGCGGGGGAGTAGGAGAGCGCGCGGGGTGAGGTTCTGGAGAGGTGGGCCAAACAGTGGGTCACAACTGCGCAAAATGCCCTATGATCGTGCGACTAATCTGACATTTGTATGCCCAGAGCCGACTCTTCCGCGTGCGGCCAAAGTGCGGAGGAAAATTCAAAGGGAAAGTTTTTTTTTTTTGGTCGGTTCGAAACTGAGTTACCCTGGGAAAATGAGGAAAGTGTAAACAGCACATTGAAAGCGGGAAAAAAGTGCTAACCAAAAAGGGAAAACAAGTTACTTGGTAATACGATAGAAATACATAATTTGAGCCATCAAATCATCTTTTGATACGGTCGGTGGCTATTAATTAATTATTATTTATTTACAAGTTCGTCCTTTCAGTTTTTTTTCAGTGTGCCTCATTTGCATATATATTTATATCCTTTGGGAGCATTGCAAGCTTAAATTTTCATCAATTTTTTAAGACAGTTTTTGGGTCAAATATTGTTTTAAAGGTAGCCAATGGAGATACGTCAACATAAGCTTAAAAATGAAGACATTTATATACTCTATAGAACCGGGAATGTCTCCTTCACTGCGTTGCAAACTTTTGAGTGAATTGGGTATTAAAATGAAGGGCGGGAAATTAAAACTTGTTTGATAAAAGTTTAAAAATAAAGAGGGTTGAGTCTAACCCCGATTGAAATTAAAACTTTTTTATGATAAATGTTAAAATAAAGAGAGCTGAGCTTAACCCCAGTTAACTTTTTGTTAGTCATCCCAAAACTTTATCCAATTACGTGTGGATATTGCGAAAACAACGATGTACCTTCCGACTTTTTAGTTTAAGAAACTGAAAGATCTTCGCCTTAAGCAATCAATTAGTTATCATAATCTGAACCTAAATAAAATAGCCCTATGAAATAATATTACAAATTTAGAAACCCTTTAAATTATTAACAATTATCCACATTCTAATTTTAAACGCAGGCGCTGTAACAGACTCCCCCATCAAGATCATTCGGCTGCCGGCGCAGGCGCCCGTCATCCGTTACCGCAGTGCGGATGCGGCGCCGGACTCACTGCTGATCAACTACCGCCAGGATGCCCAACCGGAGCTGTCGTCCACGTTGATGCAGGCACCAGGAGCGGCGGCGGCGGCTCTGGAGTCGCTGCTCCGCGAGGAGACGGAGCAGCAGCAGCTGGCCCAGCTGGGCAGACGGAACCGGGCGAGTGCCTCCACAACCGGAAACTGTCCCCGATCCTGTCCACCGAGCATAACAGTGGGAGCTGAACCCGTGTGCGGCAGTGACGGCCTCATCTACGCCAATCTCTGTGAGCTGCGCAAGAAGACTTGCTCCCGGAGCGGAGTGTCCCTGATCAAGGATGTTCGCGACGGCTGCGAGCGCTCCAAGGGTTCGGATTGCAAGCATCGCTGCAGTTCGGAAAAGGATCCGGTTTGTGGAACGGACGGACGCACCTATCTGAATCGCTGCATGTTGCGGGTGCAATCCTGTCGTGTGGGACTGGCAGCCGTTAAGCTCTCGCACGTAGGTCCTTGCAGCAATACGAGTGCTGTGCGCGAGTCCTGTCCGGTGGATTGTAATAGTGCCCCCAAGGATGGACCAGTTTGCTCATCGGATGGCAATGTATACAACTCGACGTGCGAGATGAAGCTGCACACGTGTGGACAGGGTGTGGTGAAGACCAGCAGGAAGCACTGCCAGTCGACGAGGATGTGCAGAGAGTCCTGCTGGCGGGTGGCCAGGCCCACTTGCGGCTCCGATGGCCGTCTGTACGCCAGTCCCTGCAAGATGCGCTCCTCCAATTGTGGCAAACACGTCTTCGAGGTTCCTTTGTCCTTCTGCATGCCGCAGGAGCGGCACGGCAGTGCCTCCGATGCCTGTCCCACGGAGTGTCCCAAGGCCGATGCGGATTCCTCCTCGCAGTACGTGTGTGGTAGCGATGGTAATATCTACTCATCACTCTGCGAACTGAAGATGCTCAATTGCGGGTGAGTCTGGATGGGTTTGTAAGAAAGGATATCCTGGTTCCAATCTATGCATTTCAGTCCCCAGCGCAAGTCCATCCAGAAGGTGAGCATGGACAAGTGCAAGAGTCGATTGACTCGCTGCAAGCAACTGCCTCCTTGCAAGGACTTCAACAGCCTGTTCGGCTCCATTTTCAGCTCGAAACGTAATGATAAGCTCTGCGGCACGGATGCCAAGACCTACAACAATGAGTGCGAACTGGCCCATGCCACCTGTCTGTAAGTACATAAAATATAAACCAAACTCGATAAATTACTATTTATTATTATACTCGTATATTGTTTTCCAAGAACAATTGAAAAATATGTTCTTGTTCCATGGACACCAAATTAAAAAAAAAAAAGGATTTTTTATTTAGAATAACAGCCAAAAATCTTGAGTTGTATTGCAAAAAGGATTTATAGATTCAAGGAGAGCATAAACAATTTTTTTGTTTTTTTAAGATCTTTAAAGGTCGTTAATGGTTGTGGGACTAAACTTGACTTACAATTTCTCGATTGTTTAAAGATAATTGAGAAAAGTTTTAACCTTTCAAGTTTCCCAAAAAATGTTTTTAACCTTTGCTGTAAAATTTTAACACAAAATAATATTTTATTGTATAATTTATATATTTTTTTTAAATTATGAACTTATTTTTAATTCGCAACCTTTTTTCAGACGCGGCGTAAATCTGGCCCACATTGGTCCCTGCACGGATCTCAATTCGCCGACGAAGGATTGCGGCGATGCCTGCACTCGGGCGGACTTGGAGCAGCAGCCGGTGTGCGGATCAGATGGCAATACCTTCGCCTCGATGTGCGAGTTTAAGCGGCGCACTTGCAATCTCCGTGTGGTTCCTGTATCGCTGAAGAACTGCGCCCTGACCGCTGACTGTGAATCCGATTGTGATGCCCAGCCGCCAAGTTTCGTGTGCGGATCGGACAACAATCTGTACAAGTCCGAGTGCCACATGCGCAAGGAGAACTGCGGCAAGCATGTGTTTGTGGTGCCACTCAAACGCTGCCTGGCCGCCTTCCAGCTTAAAGGATGTGCCCGCATCTGTCCCAGGGAATTCGAGCCGGTTTGCGGCAGCGACAATAAAACCTATTTGAACGACTGCTTCCTGGAGATCGAGAACTGCAGGGCGAACCAGACGATCAACGTCAACTACTACGGCGCCTGTGGCCGCCCCGAAGCACCATCCACAAACTTCCTCTACTAGGATGTATTGCGTGGCGCCTTCATTTCACTTGGCATTTAATATTTTTAGGCTATAGTCTTGTATTGTACTTTTTTAAAATCGATATTTATTGAGTTTGAATTAAAGCCCCCAACGAACTTACAAGGAATGCACTTGAACCCAGGCCTGTAACTATAATCTAGGCGGAGTCATCGAAGAGCTTGCTCAGCATAGCATTTATCTCGTGCGGTCTGTATTTGACGTATTTGTCCGGGTTCTTGCTAAACTGTACGCTGGAGTAACTAAAGATTACAAAAAAATGATTAGTTATTAATAGATTAATACACTACAAGCTTACATTTCATAGAATTTATTGTATTTCGGTAATATGTGCTCCACATTATCACGTTTGATGCCTTCTCGCAGAATCACATCGGGTATGGAGATGCCGCGCTGGATTTTACAAGCCTCCTCAAAGTCCTTGTTGAAGTTCTGAACCAGAAAAGGAATTTAGTTTACAGTGTAATAGTCAGCTTAATAAGAATATATTAAAATCAAGTCTTTTAAAACGAATTCTTTTAAACGAATTTCAATTTAAATTTATACTTTTCTGACTTTAGACTTTAGAAGATCTTTAAAACCCATAGACCTACAGAAAATCTCTCCTTGAGCACACTGCGATCCTTATCCTTGACCTTGCCGGCCACAGGCTTGGGCAGTTCATCCAAGGAGTAGATGCCCAGTAGCATTTTTGACCAGGTCTTCTGATAGCTGGCCTTCAGTTCGCGTATCATCTCCAGGTAGCTGTGCTCGCATTCCGGCTCTGCAAGGGTGACCAAATCAATAAGATTGGACCGCTGAAGCGACTTAAGGATGTAGTGGATGTTGTTGAGACGGAAAAGATGCTTGGTTGCCTGGTCATTATACTGCTCACACTTGTTCATGATGGAAAGATTCAGCTCTGCCAAAGCTTTCTCTGTTCAAAATAAAATAGGAATTAAAAAGGTGCTGAGAAAAGATTCCTATTTTGCACTCACTTATATAAATGGCTAACAGAGCCTTGTTACGTTCATCACCAGGCAGTGATTTCTTCATCAAAATCGTATCCAATTGTGTGGAGTATAGGACATCCTGCGCCAAAATCGAACCAATTACATCAAAGTGTTCGTACAAGTGTTCAATAAACCAGATCGTATTGGAGGTCAGCTCGTGAACGGTGGCATCTTTTGGAACATTGCTCTGGCCCACAATGTTCGTGCTCGATTCACCCTTGACCACGTCCAGGAAGTGCTCCAAAGCCTTGGCTCCAGTGTGCTGCAATTTGTTTAGCACCTTTGTGAGCTGTTCCCGCTGCGCAGAATCATAGGTGCGTTCGATGTCCGGTTGCAGCAGGATCACCCGCTTCAGGGCAGAGAATATACCCAGTGCCGAGGTCCACTCCTTGCGGGAGATGCAGCGCAAAATGCGTTGTGTGATGGCCTCAGCATCCTTGACCACCAGCTCGATGGCATTGTAGGCCAGGCGGGCGAACACTTCGTTGTGTTTTGATTGGGGAATAATGTCGTGCATAATGGCTCGCTCCCAGTTGAGTAGTCGCTGTAATCCCAGTAGCATGACCAAGTACTTGTCCAGCTCCTGATCTCCATCCAGCAGATCTTCGGAGGTCAAATGGTCACTGTGTGAGGATGCCTTCTTGATCGAAAAGCCAGTGGACTGCTCAATGGTTTGGGTAGCCCGCAGATATAACTTGTTGGCCTTCTTTTCGAATCTGAAGATTATACAATTAGTTAATTTTGGTTTATAAATACAAATTAAGTCTTACATTTGCTGCAGGCGCGCTGACGTATTCTTTTTGGGTTCCGTTTGGCGTCCACTGTGTCGGGGTCTCTGCAAAAGTTTTTATATTTTATAAAACGAAGAGCCAGTTTTGATTTCAAAAATACCCTTTCAGTGTATAATTGTGTTCTCAATGCATTAGTAAAACATAACACAGTTTTCCTGATTTTACTATTAAACTGTATATTAGTTTCCCATTTTTTATTTATATCGATGAGTGTTTACAAAATTTTAATTAATACATTTTTTATGATTTACAATGAATAATAATATTTTTGGGATTTCGTTTTTTATTTCTAGCTTATTTATTATTTTAAACATTAGTACACTGTTTTTTTTTTTGCTTGATTAGGAAAAATAGTTTTTAAGGCCCCAGGCCCTTTACAATATATTAATAAAAACACAGTTTTTTCACATAAAACATTTAAAATCTTAACCTACAATGAAAAATTGGGCATGCCGGCAGTCCAATTAAAGGTTATGCAGAACATCCATGATGCGGTTGCAATCCTCATCGGTTTTTAATCCAATTTTGATTAGATCAGCCCGCTCCATGGAGGCCAGTTTCACCAGATCGATGTGGGCCTCCTCAAAGTGGGTCACATAGTTCTCCAGGCCCACGTGCATGAGAATCTGCTCCACATTGGCGGCATGGTTTACGGCGTACGAGTGGTTGGAGGCTGTTATCGAACGGCGACGCGACTCCAAGGTCAACGAGGTCTCCATATTGGAGTCATCCGAAAATGTGTCCGGGCTGCTGCTGCTCTTAAATTCGCGGTCTGGCTCGTTCGCATCCTTCGGCAAGTTGAAAACCGGGGGTTTTAGATGAGTGCGTCCACTATGCTGGTTGTGCTGCTGATGATGATGATGATGATAATGATGCATTTGCATCGGCGGCTTCTTAAAGTTTCCGAACTGCATGGGCGACACCGGACTTTTTTTCACTCCCATATCCTCGATGGGCGAGAGATTGGGCGATCGAAAGTTGCCAAATATTGGCGTCGAGCATCGCACATTGGAGGTGTTCACATTCAAGGTGTTCCACCTGCGCTCTTTTAAAATTGGCGTGCGATTAAGGATAATTTTCGTTTTGTTTTTCGGTGTGCAACAGGTCTCCATCTTGAATGCGTTTAAATATTAACACACAGAAAACGAACTGTTGTCGGCAAATTCAAGCTGACAAATGGCGGCTACCGAAATTGAACGGCTTTGCCGCTGCACAAGAAGCTTTTTCGAAACGATTCCGTTACTCGAAACACTTTGAGATGGAAAAAGTGAAGTTGTGATAGGTACAAGTCGCGTTTCCGTTATTCGAAGATGGGAGAAGTTAAATTTGTACAGGTACAAGTCACATGTCTCTAAATTTATTACATTAATATGTTTTAAAATTGTATAAAATTTAAAGAAGAATAAACTTCTTCAATTGAACTATAAGTACACAAAATAAAAATTTAAGAAACTTGGAAAGTGAAAATTATAAGAATATAAAATATATAAAAATACTTACAATTATTGTTTTTTTTTATTCAGTAAGTCGTATTTGAAACTTTATTGTTAATTTACATATCTGTCTATTTCTTTCACTTATAACACGTTATACTAGTTCAAGAAGCAATTTAACAGTTTTAATTACAATATACAAAAAAACCCATAATAATCTCCGTAACAATAGTACCTGGTACCAGATTAAAGATAATTGAGTACTCACCAGTGCCTCGTGACCCCAGCTATTGCTCTTCTGGTGATCCTTGAGCAGCTGCAGTGATCGCAGCACCACATCACCCCGTTCCGTGGCGTAGATGTGGGTGTACTCCCTCAAATTTTGCTCCAGCCAGTGGGATATGGTGTACAGCTCCTCGCGAGTAGTTTGCGATAGCTGCCGGAAGGAGGTGTACTCATCGCTGGAGTCATCCTCAATGTAGATAAGATCCAGAAGTTCCACGGGCTTCAGCGGAGCACTGTGCTTCTTTAGCAGCATACTATAATGCTGATTGAGACCCTCGCATCCGGTATTAAATAAACTGGTGACGTTCTCCAGCTCCACACTCTGTGAATTGTTGTGCCGGAAGTAATCATTGGCATCTCGCAGCTTGGCCAGTGCATCCAGAAATACGGAGATATTTCCCTCCTGCGGACCCTGGTGAATCAGCTGGCACACCTCCTGGGAGACATCGTAGTGCGATAGTACACTTTCCAGGCAGTTGAGAGTGGCCTCCAGATCTAAAGTAGAGGCGGTGACCCATCAGTTATCAGGGAATCCCTAGGGTTATCTTCAAACTTACTTTGCTGCCTTTTCTGGAGCTGCTCTGTCTCCTGGTAAACGGGTAATATGGTCTGCTCCAGATTGCCCAGTCGCTTCTCGAAGATTGTAAGGATACTGGACATTTGCGTGGAGAGATCATGATATTTATCCACTCGGTCTTTAAGCAAAGCCAAATTTGTAGCTTCCTATTAGAATTAAAAATTAACAAAGAGGTTTTCTGGGCTGACATCTGAATGTACCTTCTCCAATTTGTTGTGCGCCTGCAATGAACTGTCCAAATTGTTCATTTTAAAGCGTTTATATACAGAATTCCTTTTGAAACAAAACAATTGTTGCTGAAATGTAAAAACTAATTCTTGTCTTTTATTTTGGGTGGGAGAACTTTGTCATTTTTAGGTATTTACAGTGCGGTCATACTGCTTAATATCGCGTTGCCAACTACTTTGAAATAAATAACATTTTAATTTTTAATTTTTTTATATATTTATATATAAAATTTCTTTCAAATAACATCCTAAACTATATAACTCCTTCCAGTAACTTGTTTTAAAGGTGAATTTATTTAGTAATTTTCATATTTACTTCTTAAGTTAGGCTTTTAAAAACCAAAACTAACGGAAAAACTAGCCAAAGTGCCATCACTAGCCAAGACGCCAACATTTGTTGTGGATTCGGTTGCCATGGAATCTGTGTGTAAACAACGCACCTGAATCTTGGAATTTTTACCTACTATGCAGGACTAAGCATTTCGTTTTGTGCAACAATGAGGGGCGTTCTCAAATGGCTGGAACGCATTGAGTTTCCCAACAGCAAAGAAAACGAGATCAGGTAAAGCTTTCTCGCCCCAAAAAAACAGCAACCTGTTGCTCCGTAACGGTAATCGGAAACCCCGTTTTTCCAGTGTCCACAATGTTTGCTATGCTCCCGATGGCAGCCAATTGGTGGTGGCTGCGGGGGATCGGCTGCTCATCTACGATCCCAACGATGGATCCCTCCTAAACACCCTGAAAGCCCACAAGGACACGGTTAATTGTGTGGCCTACTCGAGGGATGGCAAGCGATTCGCCAGCGGAGCCTCCGACAAAATGGTCATCGTGTGGTCGCCGCAGCTCGAGGGCCTGCTCAAGTATTCGTAAGTACACAGGGAGAAAATCAATATGGCTTAAGATCCATTCGATAGATATATAAACATAATAACATTTCAATTTGATGCTAAATATGTTTTAACAGCCGGAGAAAATTAAAAACCATTCGTCGGCTGTAAGATTTGAAACTATTATTTTTTTATGTAACCTGGTGGTTTACGTTTTTACTTAATAACGTGAATAAATGTTGATTGAAAATATCATGGACTCTTAATGATTGATAATGTAAAAAGCTTAAATTCATGAAAAGTATTATCATTTAAACCTTTTTGATTTTGCGATGGCTATTTTTAAATATTAAATAGCACACCACTATTATTAAAACAATACAATTTTTTGGCTTACCTTTTTTTAAAGGAATTTGATTGCAACAAAATGCTTACATAATTTTTCCCGCAGACACGGTGACTCGATTCAGTGCATGAGCTTCAATCCCGTCTCACATCACCTGGCCTCGTGCTCCTTGTCGGACTTTGCCTTCTGGTCGGCGGATCAGAAGGCGGTGCAGAAGTATAAGATTTCCGCCCGCGTGAATGGATGCTCCTGGACGAACGACGGCCAGTACCTGATACTGGGTCTGGCCAATGGCACCATTTCCATAAGGAACAAGCTGGGCGAGGAAAAGGGCCGAATAGATCGACCAGGTGGTCCCAACAGCAACGTCTTCAGTGTCCAGTGTTGTCCGGCAAGTGGTCCCGGCAGTGTGGACACCATTGGTGTGGTGGACTGGAGTCAGACGCTGTCGTTTCACACCTTGAGTGGCCAGATGATTGGCAAGGAGCGAACTCTGGGCTTCGATCCATTGTGCCTGCAGTACTTCCCCAATGGGGAGTTCTGTTTGGTAGGCGGCTGCACTGGAGGACTACACTTCTTTACCAGGGAAGGCATACGGTTGGGCACGCTGGGCGACAGCTTCGATACCTGGATCTGGACGGTGGCCCTGCATCCGAATGGCCAGTCCTACACCATTGGCTGTCAGGATGGAACGCTGGCCTGCTTTAACATTGCTTCGAGTACCGTGCATGCTTTGTATCGGGAGCGGTATGCCTTCCGGGAGAATATGTGCGACGTGATCATTCAGCACTTGATCTCTGGCCAAAAGGTGCGCATCAAGTGTCGGGACTTAGTGCAAAAGATAGCCATCTATCGGAACCGACTGGCGGTACAGCTGCCGGAACGCGTCGTTCTCTATGAACTGAGCTCTGGAGAGGATCAGCCCATGCACTATAAAGTGCGGGAGAAAATCCAGCAGAAGTTCGAATGCAGTTTGCTGGTGGTCTGTGGACGCCACATCGTCCTCTGCCAGGAGAAACGGCTCCAATGTCTGGATTTCATGGGTATCCTGCAGCGAGAGTGGATCATGGACTCGTTTATACGATACATTAAAGTCACCGGCGGTCCAGTGGGAAGGGAGGGACTGATGGTGGGCCTCAAGAATGGCCAGGTGTTTCGGATCTTTCTCAACAACTCACTGCCGCTGCTGATCACCACTGCTGTATCTGCGGTCCGGTGCCTGGACATAAACTCTAAGCGCAGCAAGATCGCCGTTGTAGATGATGTGGGTCGTCTGGTGGTGCGGGACATAGTCAACGACACGATTTTGTACCAGGATACGGGTGTGAATAGCGTCACCTGGAACACGCATTTGGATTCTATGCTCTGCTATACCCACACAACTGGAGGCCTAAGCGTTAGAGTGGGCAATCTGCCGCCGAGGGCACCACAAAACATGCATGGCGTGGTGGTGGGACTTTGTGGAGCCACAGCTTTCTGTCTGCGCGGAAATATCATGCACAATACGCCATTGGCCTTGGGTTCCACCATGTGGCAGTTCATCGAAGCTGGTTTATTTGAGTAAGTGCATATTAATCTATATTTTATCCCTGCTAATAGTAACTGTGTTCCTGCTTTTCAGGGAAGCCTACCAGGTTGCCTGTCTGGGTGTGACCACCAGCGACTGGGAAGGATTAGCCCAGTCCGCTTTGGAGGCCCTTCATATAAATATAGCTCGCGATGCCTACGTAAAAGTGAGGAACCTTCCGTGGCTCAAACTGATCGGTGAGCTGCGAGATCAGCAGCAGCGATCGGCTGTGCCCAAGGAGGTCCTTCTCGCCGAGAACTGCGCCTTCGCTGGGAAGTTCAAGGAGGCAGCTCGTCTATTCCTGAAATGCGGCCAATCATCGAGAGCACTTGAGATGTACACTGATCTGCGGATGTTCGATCTGGCCCAGGAGTATATCAAGGATGGGACTGCGCAGGAGAAGAAGGAACTGGTACGCAAGCGGGCGGAGTGGGCTTATTCGGTGAAGGAGCCTCGTGCTGCTGCTGAACTTTTACTATCAGCTGGTGAGAACCAAAAGGCCATTGACATTGTTGCCGAACAGGGATGGGCCGATGTGTAAGATAATCAAAGCAATTTGCTAATTCCGTGACTAACTAACATCACTTTTGCAGTCTATTCGATATCGGACGTCGACTGAGTCTTACAGAACGCGATGCTTTGGAGTCAGTGGCCCAAAATCTGAAGGCCCTTAAAGCTCTTCCCTTGGCTGCTGAGATTTTCAAGAAACTAGGCGATGAGGCTCAGGTTGTTCAGCTGCATATTGAAGTTCGTGACTGGCCGGAGGCATTTCGTTTGGCTGAATCTTTGCCAGAACTGCTGCCCACAGTTCACTATCAGCATGGGCAATGGCTGGCCGAAACGGATCAGTTTATAGAGGCGCATCAGGGTAAGAGCCTTAAGTATATAAATAAACAAGATATTGTTCAGAGTATAAGCACCCCCGATTTCGTATCCAAGTCTATATGTATAATGATCATCTTAATTTTTTCTTTGCAGCATTTTTAAAGGCAGGACGCACCAAGGAAGCCAATCGTTTGCTCAAACAACTGAGCAGTACAGCCATTGCGGAGGAGCGCTATTTAGATGCTAGCTATTTTTTTTGGCTGCTGGCCAAGCAATATTTAGATGTATATCATTGCAAGGAGTACGTTACATTCCATTTCAAAACTAGATTAATTCTAAAATACATGTTTTTGATCTTTCCCAGTGAACAAAATCCCATTGACCACCACCTGACAGAGTACAAAAATCATTTACGTATTGCCAAGGTTTATTACGCCTACAGCGTCATATATTCTTATATGAAGGAACCTTTTACCACACATTCCCCAGTGAGCCTGTTTAACGTGAGCCGTTTTATACTCAACGAAGTGGAGCACAAAGGTGTGCCCAAAGGAGTCAGCATGTTGTAAGTTATGGGATAAAACTTCATAAACAGACTAATCCTCAATGCATCCTTGCATTTAGTTCGGTTCTTTTTACTCTGGCCAAGCAAGCCAAGTTTCTGCAGGCCAACAAGTTGTGCCTTCTTATCAACAAACGTTTGCAATCCCTGAAGCCACCAGCCGGAGTCCAAGAACAGATCGATGTGAGTAGCTAAAAGCTTTTTTCATTCAAAATGCCTTATTGGAACGGACTTTTTCAGCTCAATTTTCTCAATAGCAAAGCCTGCAAGAGTGGCTTCAACGATCCAGAGGAGATCCTGCCGCTTTGCTACAAGTGCTCGAACTACAGTCAACACTTGAACAGCAATTGCTGCCCCACCTGCAGGCAGGACTACATTTTCTCATTCGTTTCTTTTGGTAAAGATCTTAGACCTTTTTCATGTTTTAACTTTCCTTCTAATTCACAAATGTACATACTTTTCAGAAATACTACCCTTAGTACAATTTTATCCAGAAGTGGATATATCAGATTCAGAGGCCGAGCGTTTGCTGCTGGCTCCTGCAAAGCATGCCGAGGATTCGGACCCATTCAACGAGGATGTGGCCAGTGCCTTGCCATTAAGTTTGGATCGCAATGGTCTGCGTGCCATAGATCCCAATCATGTGCTAATTCTCAAACGGAGAGGAAAGAATGTTCGCAATGTCTACTATCGCAACATATTGCCCGACTTACAGGTCACCTATTGTCCCCAATGTCTGCTGGTGAGTTTAAAGATAAACCAAAATCCATACATGGTTTTCTATGCTATCCATTTTCAGCTATTCTATGCCGAAGATTTTGAGCTGCAAGTATTGCAGAAGGGTTATTGTCCGTTCTGCCACACATCATCGGAAAAGCTGCTGGAAGACTTTTGAAATTGCCTTAAATAGAGTTTAACAATATAATTTCCGTCCAAAATTGTACAAATAGATATATATATATATAACAAAGCTTTTACGCCCAGGTCTCCTCCTGATATCGCCGCTGCTTGATCATCAGGTCCACGTAACCTGCATCGCCTTCGAGGATCTCTATAAAGGCCTCTCTAACAGACTTTGGCATATTGTTGGAGTTTCCAGCCACGTATATAAAGGCATTTTGGTCTTTGATAAGCTTCGCCAGACGATCACCGTTCTTGGTGATTAAATGCTGTACATAGACCTTATGATCCTGGTCCCTCGAGAAGGCTATGTGAGCTTCTATCTGATTGGCAGTGGTCCAAGTAGAAAAGTCCTTTTCAAAGTGGAAATCGGCAGTCTTGTTTCGGCAGCCAAAGAAGACAATCAAGGGTCCAATGGCAGAACCTGTTGATTGGGCATGCAATCGATTTTGGATGACACTACGAAAGGGAGCGATGCCCGTGCCAGGTCCGACCATGATTAGTGGTATGCTCAAGTCCTTTGGCCAGACCATGGTTCCTCTTTTAATCACTCCACGCAAGTCTGCTCCCGGTTCCAGATTTTTCAGCCAATTGGAGCACAAACCCAAACGAGGTGTGTGCATAATTGTTTTGTACTCCACCACAGCCACCAGCAAATCCAAAGTAGAGCAGGACTCATCCGAGGCTATGGAAAAGCTGCGAGGCTGGATCAGTGGCATCATTTCAAAGAGCTGAACTAGTGTTAAACTGGCGGTGGCATGCCGGAAATCGTCCAGAACCTCCAGGATACTGCGACGCGGTCTGTTTACATAGGCCACCAGGTCATCGATTCCCTCGGCGGAGCAGAACTCCAGGAGCTTCTCCTTTTCCAATTCATCAGTGCAATTCTGACCGAGAACCTCGAGGAATCGTTGCCGCGGCTTGGCACTCAAATCCCAAACATATTTGGCCGCCTGCTGGAGGCTTAAAGGAATGGAGTAGGCTCTGGGAAGGGGCATGTCCACATGGGCACTGGTTATTTCCACCACAGTGGTCTCATCGAAATTTAGTTTGTGTTCGCGGGTTAGATCGAAGAATGTTTTAACGCAGTCGTCGCTATTTTGGGGCTGTACATCGAGCACATCACCGGGTTCCCAACTTAGATCTTCAGTTTGGCTTTGTAGCCGTAGGAAACGCACATCCTGGAAGTGGTCCACCGCCGTTGTCCTTTGGTTCTGCCGGATTTTGAAAGCGTGCGAAGGTTGCTTTTGTGTCCAGTTCAAGGTTTCCGAGGAAGTGTGTTGGGAATCTCTAGGCAACTCCTCTACCAACCACTTTCCTATTGTTTGGTTACCACTGTTGAGCTTGCTTTCATCCAGACCAGAGATGCCCTTCAGTGCCGCCCAAAGATCCTTTGTCCAGCCTAAAGACACACCCAAATGTCCGTAATCATGCTGATCATCACACAGACCCACTGGGCACACGGATGTGGCGCCCAGATTTAGCAGCCTCTTGCTGAGTTTTTTGGCTGCATAGTTGAACTTCGGATAGCTGGAGTCTCCGAGACCAAGGCAGGCGAACTGCATTTCTCGCAGGGATTGGGCGGGCAAGCTGCGCTTCAGCAGGAACCGCCAGGCCAGCTTCATGTTGTCCGGCTCCACACCATCGCCGGTGGTGGCCACCACGAAAACCACGAGGCGCTCCTCTATCAACTTGGTCATTTCGTACTCTTCGAAGGAGAGGACGGGACCCTGGAAACCCAGCTGGTGCGACTCCCGCCAGATCTGCTCCGCCACATCCTGGGCGGTTCCAGTTTGACTGCCATAGAGCACCAGCAGCCGCATATTATAGAATTTTTAAATAGAAATTTAAATTACTAATGAATTTGTTGATTGGAGTGTGACCACAGTTGCAGTGACGCAATAAGACATTCACAGGGAATGACTTCTTGGCAGAAAGAATACTTCAAGAGAAGTTGGAAAAAATTGCATTTTAGTCAGTCATTTAATATATTGCTTTTGGTAAAATGTGCATAATTAAATTATAATTTATGAATAAAAATATGACATTAAAAATAGTGGAAAGGTTTTGGTGCCCAATTTTTGAACTCTAGTGGGGACACGTTGTTTTATACGCAATGTCCAAGTTCTTAATAACAAGACGCGGTCACACTATTCAAAATTGTTTTGATGTCCAAGCTACAAAATTGTTTTGATTGTGATAAAAAGTAAGTTTAATTCGCAAACAATGCTTAACAAACGGCAAATCGATGTGCAGCTAAGCAAGAAGCTGTCCTGGTTGCTGCGGCACGGTGCAAAAACGGAGGGGATTCCCATCCGGGACGATGGCTTTGTGAGTGTTTCCGATTTGCAGGAGCACCCGCGGTACAGGGCCTTTACTTTGGAAAAATTGGAGGAGATTGTATCCACGGATGCCAAGCAGCGATATACTCTTCGCTGGAATGAAGATTGTGGACTTCACGAAATTCGCGCCAATCAGGGACACTCTCTTTCGGTGTTGGACGGCGAAGCTGGCGGTCTGGACAGGATTAACCTCAAGGGACAGGTTCCATTGGCAGTCCACGGCACCTTCTACCGCCATTGGGAAGCGATACAGACCCAAGGTCTTAGCAGGATGAAGCGCAACCATGTGCACTTTGCCAGCAGCGATAGAACCGACTGCACCCTCAGTGGATTCCGCAGCGATTGTCAAATTTTGATATATCTTAATGTGGAAAAGATTTTAGCCGATGGCATACCCATCTACCGCTCCAGCAATGGTGTACTGCTCTGTCCAGGAATCAATGGCTTTATATCCAAATCATATTTCCTAAAGGTGGTGGACAGGAAAACGGGGCAGTCTCTTACTTATTGATCATTGTTATTGAATAAACCTGACGACCGTCAAGCATTAATTTAAACGCGTTCTTGCAGAAATGCCGGCTCCTGGCTCGGAAATTACTCCACCGCCTGGGGATGGTGGCGATAATGTGGTGCTGTGCATGGTCTGCGCCGCTCCCTTCCAGAACATGCAGGATTGCTTGGCCCACGAACTGCTGAAGCACGCAAGCAAGCCGCAAAAACAAATGCGGCAGCGACTGAATGCCATAACCAAGCTGTTCACCAGCGCACAAGCCCAAACCGAGCGGAATGAGCTCCGGGAAGCGCTTGACAAGTCGCCACACGGTGGCCACCTACGCACGGTGTTGGACTTCTACGCCAGTGATCTTCGAAAAATGGAGGCCTGCTTCGGGCACGTCCGTAACTGCATTGAAAAGGAGATGAGGGGCAGGGTTAGGGTGTTTCCGTTTGGTTCACTGGTCACTGGTTTGGCCCTGAAGGGTAAGTGGTCACCAGCAATTGCAGAAGGCACCTAATCCGTATGTTTTTCCTCTAGAAAGCGACATAGATTTGTACCTGCAGCCCTGCGGAGAGCAGCCACATATGTTTCACAAGCAGCTGTACAACAAGGTCTCATACTTTTTACGGCGCTCCAAATGCTTCGAGGATATCTGCACCATCCGTCATGCCCGTGTGCCCATCATCCGATGCAAGCATCAGCTTACCGGACTTAACATAGACATCAATATGTCCAATCCGAATAGCACATACAATTCACGTTTTGTCGGAAAACTCATGTTCCGAGACGAGCGGCTCCGAGAGCTCGGTCTCTTCCTTAAGATCTGGGCTAAGAAGCTAAAGTTAATTGGTCACGGCAGCATGACCAGCTATTGCCTGATCACCATGATCATCGTCAATTTGCAAGTGCATCAAATGCTGCCTTCCGTCAAGCAGCTACAGTCGCTCTGCCCACCGGTTAATATGGGTGGCGTTAACTACGCCTATAGCTTGGACCTAACGCCACCAATTCCATCTCGGATGTCCCCGCTGGAGCTGATGAAAAATTTCTTTGTATACTACAGTACCGTCAACTTTGAGAAGAGTGTTTTAAGTCCCTTTTTGGGCAGCTGCCTGGACAAGGAGACTACGCTGGGCATGCCTGGCGGATTTCCAGAGTACGACGAGCAGATGCAGCTCATGCAAGATGCGACGGGTGAAACCCCAGAAGCATTTCAGCTAGAGCGACCCATGTGCGTACAGGATCCCTTCGAGTTGCAGCACAACGTGGCCAAGTCAGTGTCCCAATCGAATCTCTGTTACATTAGACAATGCATAATTCTGGCAGCTCAAGCATGCAGCGATCAAGAACTTACTTCACAGCCAGAGAAGCTATATGACTATCTATTATTTGGCTTGGCAGACAAGCTAGTGGCTGACAGGTTAGTGGCGGACAAAAAGGGGGAGAGGGCCACTCCTCGAAAGCAACAGAAAATGGAAGCTATCCAGACGCAGGAGCCGGTCTGTGAGTCAAAAGAAACCAATATTGAGACGGGCGGGATATATAATGCCCCGCCCATCGTGCGATCGCATGTGATCACGCCCACCACAAACGATCTCAAATGCTTGCGCAACGCTGTGCTGAGCCGTAATAAATTAGATGGGAACCGACCGATATACTACTACTGGTTGGCCTGCTATGTGGACACCATTAAGGACGTGCTAACCCAGCTCTATGCTTTGAATATCGAGCTAAAGGATTCGGAGGAACCCGGATACTACAAGTGGCTGATCAGCATATCCTATGACACTTGGACAGGCCGCTCTTTCCAGCGTGGAGCGGGTCAATCCTTCTTTGCCCACCAGCTGCAGCAAACAATCGAGTTTTCAAAGACCCGAATGGGCAATCCACAATATGCGGTGAATCTGCGTGGCTTCTTCTCGTTGCTGGCCAGTGAGGATTACAAGGAGCTGCGCCTGGATGTCCAGCCACTGCCGGGAGATCTCCTCGGACTGCAGCGCAATAGTCCGCTTACTAAGCTTTTTAAGGCGTTCAAGAATTTGCTCGGCAATTACAGCTTCAAGGAGAAGGCCAGTACCTGGGAGTTCTGCGCCAAATCTGACCAAAACTGACTACATTACGTTGTAATCTCTTTTATGTACATACTATTAGATATCAATGCCAAATTGATTAGAAGCTTCAATTACTCGACCCTTTATTTCTAACAGAATTATTATTTCAAGTTATAATATCACTATGAGTTAAACACATATATATCTCAAATCATAAGTGTAATGTTTAGTAGTTAAGCGACTAACTATATATAAAGAGATGACTAAACTAATTATTGGCAAAAGTCTCTTGGAGCAGGGATAGTAAATTATTTACATGGGTAACAACTAATCTTAAAATACGCTTGAACATGTGTGTTTCGTAAACTTCTGAAGATTTGTAAATAATAAGTAAATAACTACTCTTCGTATATATAATATTTGATTTTATAAACTAAAGATTTTCATTTTTTTTATTTTCAGAAACCCTGAATTATATTTTAAAATCTCCAGAAGTTTCACAACAACACAACTTTATTTCAGGCATAGAGAGGAAGAGGTTTCTATAATATAAGACTAAGATAATTGTACTGTCAGATTCTAATCTGATTAACGGCACTTGGGCACTAGCCGTAGTTCTAATTCTACGGCCACTTCTATCCCTTTTTTTTCCGGCAATAACAATACTTTTTGGCACCGAAATCACTCATGCAATCCGCCTCTCCACTATAGACATTCAATCGGCTCACAGATCCCGTCACCTGAACGGAATCATCCGTGCGATTGTGCCGCAAGGTGGCTTCATACTGGCCCTTGTTGGGCGATGTGACGAAGATCAGTCGATAGGTGTGCACCTCCTCCGGATCCAGGGCATTTTGATGAGCCCGAAAAGCGGATTTGATGCTGTGCAGGGAGAGCGGAGCGCACAGCTTGGCGAAGGTTCCGTTGCGGAACTCCGCCACATAACTGTTGAGGTAGCTCACCACCCGCTTGCCGAGCATCCGGGATTCCTTGGAGGTGCTCGAAATTGTGACGTACTCCCAGCAGGTGCACCAGTGATCCGCGATGCCCACATCGGAGCAACTCCTCACCGGGGAGACGGGTCGCAGTAAGCTCTGGCATTGCGGGCAGTCGGGTGCCGGCCCCAATGATTCCATGTCGACTCGCCCGGATAACGAGAGGATGTGCTTCATGGTCAGATGAAGGTCATAGGGCGTGGTCAGGCGATTCCTGTTCAACTGGAGGCCACGCACAAACTCCGGATGTGAGCGACGCAGGTGATGAGGTAGCCAGATGAAGATTGCCGGCAGACGCTCCTCCAGGTGACCAGACCAAGTGGCCCTGGTGGGTCCGAAACGCATGCCATGATCGCTGAAGAACACCACCACGCTGTTGTCCATGGTGCCCTGGCGCACCAACTTCCGCAGATACTCCGCCATGTAGTCATCCATGCTGCTGGTCTGCGATATATCACTGTGGCTGTGCGTGTTCGTCCAGAAGAATCCAAAGTACGTATCGTTCACGTATCTCCTGGTGAACTCCAGCCCATAGTCGTACACGTGCTCCGCCTCCGTCTCGTAGCCGAGGCAGTGCAGCAGACCATTGACCGTCGTGTGATCCAGCTGCGCCTCGGCAGCGGAGAGAAAGGGCCTCAAGTAGTAGTCCGCCGGCGGATTCCGGAAGCCCTTCTTCAGGTAGTTGAACGTGTTGATCTTCACAGCATCCTCCGCAAAGGCGGTGACATAGCCCCTCTGCTGGTACAGCTTCCAGATGAAATCGCACTTGTCCAGGCCACCTACCACGTAGGGGGAGCACGCCTGCATGGCGTTCTGGAGGTTGTAGCCGGTGGCCACTGCCATGATGTTCGGAAATGTGTTGTCGTCCACCTGAAGGTAATATATATAAAAATATATTAATATAATAATATATATTAAAAGTTATAGTTATTAGTTTCGAATCTATATAAAACTGTTATATAAGGCAAACAAATTAGGTTGACCGCATAATTCTTTAAACTAGCACTAGCATTTTTAAGTGTTACGCGGATCCTTTTTATATGGAAAAGTTTTAAAATCGGCCAATTATTAAAGAAATGTGGAAGCTAAAGTTGATTTCAAACAAAACTCAAGGGATTTGTTCTGAACACTATGAAAACATAATCTGGGGCCAAAAAATTATCGATATATTAGATATACAACGTCCGATCTTTTCAAACTTAATCTGCATAAACATAGAAATTGAGCTCGCAAATGGTAAAGTAACAACGGAAATGGCCATATCAACTTGTCTAGTCATAATGGTCAAAAATATACACTATATCAACTATACGTTTTGAGTAAAAAAAAATTGATACACAATTAAAAAATGCTCTACTGTTATCAGTTTTCATTAAATTTTATTGCATTGGAAACTGTTACGAACTTCTTTAGGCATTCGAGTACTTCTATGTTACTTGGGCACGAAAAGACAAGCAAAGATCTAATCTGTAAAATTCGAACTCACCTTATTATAACCCGCCAGCTCGAACCATCCGTTGTCGTAGAGATACTGGGCTGTTTTAGGCATGGCCCTGATTAGATTCACGCGGGAGATGCTATCGATGCCGAGCATCAGAACACTTGGTGGCCTCACTTGGACCTCATCCTTTTTCTTGGCTTCCTTGGCCTTAGATGCCTTTTGGAGTCTCTGCTGCACTGCCTCCTTGACGGGAACGGTGGCATGGCCATTGATGTAGATCCGCCGTCCCCCGGAATCGCACTTGACAATGATTCCCTCTGCGGAATTGGGCAGTTCCGTGCTCCCCTTGAAGGTTTTGCACTTGGTGTACTTGACCTCCACCTCGCTAACCCGCTGTACCTCCATGTAGCAGCAGTGGAGCTGATTGCCCACCGGATACCGACTGAAAGCAGCTCCATCTACGCTGAGTACGTACTTCTGGGACTTTTCCTGGAACTTGACCTGGGTCAAGGGCGGCAGCTTTTGACAGGCTTTGTACTTGAGCCGCTTGAAGTGGCGCATCACCTCGTTCTTGTAGGGATCCACCTCCATGATCCGGCAGGAGTTGCTATACACCAGGAAGCCTTTTGGGGGCACAAATGGAACAATCTCAGTATGTGTCTCGGTGACAACTGGGCAATCAAAAACATAGGGGAGGGGAAAACAAAAAAGCGAAAGAAAATCATAATAGCGGGCATGCAATAAAAACATAAACGAAAAATAGGTAAACTCACCATCCATCACAGTGGACTGATGCTGAACCGTCACATAGCTATTCGAATGCAGGACATCCAGATCGAGGACATTCGCCCACTCGGTTCGTCCGATCAGGAAGTAGCAGAACACAAAGGACACCAGCAGGCCGAGCACCGACTTCCTGCTAACGGGCAGCGATCGGTGATGGATGGCATGGAGGACTCCTCCGCTCCGTCGGGTCATTTGTACTTCCAGCTCCTCCGTCTCTGAGGCGTCGGATCGCTCCAGCAGTAGGCGTTTCTCTGCCATGTCATTTAAACGCTCGGCTACTCATGTTCATAAATTAAATGAATACTTAGTTAATCCAAATCAATCCAATTCAACTGAAAATTTAGTTTGACAGAAAAAAAAATTGGAATAATGGATGTGTCAGTTATATTTTTTGAGACATTTACTGGACATATTCTTAAAAGACTGCTATATGAGTTAATAAAAATGTAATAATGTAAGCAAAAGAAAGAAAGCAAACTTCGGCCAGCCTAAGTTTATAATATACCCTTGCAGCCAAATTTAATATTCTTTAAATTAGACAATTTTCGGAAAAATTTCATTACTTTAAAACTAAGGGACTAGCCAGCGTAGAAAAAGACGAATCGCCTGGTGATACTGATCAAGAATATATAAACTTAAAAAAATAATAATAGTTAAGATAAATACCTGGCTATTAAATAAAAAATGTAATATTTTATATTCTTAAATGAAATATAAAATCATAATATAAAGTTCTATGCATTCTAAATTGTACGATTTAATTTTAAAATTGGTGACAAATGGGGGCTATTTGTTTTAATAGAAATATGTTTAAGCAGAGATCCAAATTTAGTCATATTAATAAAGTTAATAAATATAATAATAAATATAATCCTTTTATACTAAAAATATTTAAAAACCACAATGTGTCCTTTAACTTTTGACTGAAACTAAAATAACCTCTGCAAGGGTATATAAATGTGTGTACATATCACTACTTTACATATTGAGTTAAAAAATTAAAAAATTATATATATACAGCTGCTGTTTATAAAACTTAAGGGTTATAGAGGACCATAAAAAATCTAGTTGTAATAATAATAATAATTATTATTAAGTGCAGCTGTACTTGGCAAATGACGTATCTATGAGAAACAGAATGGAAATAAAAACACAGTTCTTTCTTTCTTTCAATAAATGATGTATTATATTGTTACGGCAGGGGTTCTAAAAGCTTTTTAATCAATTTAAAGAAAAAATACTTTATGTCAACATCCGCTGCTGATAGGCCACAGCAAGCCTCAAAAAATGTCTTTATTTTTATGTTGTACCACCCCTAAAACTTTAAAAATATATAGGTACCTTTGGAATGTTTATTGCAGTGTCTTTTTTTCCTTTATTGGTTTATTATTGTTGATTCCGCAGCTGAAATTGAAAACGTACCGTTAATAATAGCTGACGAATGCAAAATACATGTATTTTTTAGGTTGAAAATGTAATTTTCTGCTTTTTACAAAGGTCAGTTTGTGAAGTGTCGCTTTTTTTCTTTGTAAACAATGAATAATTTAATTTTTTTGCTTGCAAGGCTTGCGAAACCGAATACGATAAGTCTGATGAGATTATAATTGAGAATGTCCGGAACTCTGCATTTCAAAGTTAATTGTCTAATTTATTATTCATTCGTATTCTCAACTTTTGGCACTGTTATTTTATGTTGTTCAATACATTTTCGACACATAACTTATAAATAGTTTAGGTTCATTAGAGATTTTGTTTTATATGTTTATATTTTTAGATTTTTAGCACTCTTGTGTGTATTGAGAATTGATAGATTTACATAATCAAAACAAATATTTGCTTTTGACTGAATTGCACTAGTCCTATTTGGAAATTTAAAGCACTCCATTTATTACGGTTTTTGATTTGTACGTTTTGTTTATTGTATTGTACACAACTGTGATTTAGCTATAGTTTTCCCACGTGGTAGTTTTCCGGGTCAACAAACGTTTGCTCATTGCACCAGCATAATGTTTACCCATTTAGATCGCTGCCTGTTTCACTGCCAACAGTGTTTACCAGCCAAAAGGAATATAAATAACATTTTATTTGGCCAACCTTGGCTGGGCCCAATGATGGGGGTTGTCGGAAGGGGCGGCTGGCGAATTTAATTAATGGAAATGCAACGTCTGCTAAACTACATCGCTTCGACGTTCTGCTGAGCGTTTCGTCAGCGGTCCGAACAGTTCGACGCTAGATTTGCGAATGGGACGAAGCCCAAACATAGAAATATAAATGGGTAATGGTATGAGGGTATGGGTATGGCGTTTGGCGTATGGGAACTGAATAGGGAAATAAAGCTGTTGATGCCTCATGATGGATCTGAGCTTCAGCGGCATTATTTCATCGATCACGATGCCGTCCACGGTCATTTTTTTCCACCTTTTGCAGTTTCGTGCAACAAACATTGATTAGATATTTGGTTGTGTTAATCTATGACACGTTTTTTAGATAGCTAAATATGATTATATGATTTTTATACCCAGTACTGGGATTTTTTAGGGATGACTAGGTTTATGGTAGTGTTTGCAGTCTAAAAAGGGGAAATACCATTTTGGCATTTCAGTTAAGTATTTATATTTCTTTATTACTTTAAGTACAAACGTGTGCTAAAATGTGCTGGTCATGTTGTCTTTAAACAGCAAACTTACATACAAAATGTAAGAATAACTTTGATAAAATTTATCTTGGGAAACTGGGCACTTGCTAACTTCATAGTCTATATAATTTTAATAGTTTCTAAAAAAACTACATTACCCAACAAATTTTTCTAAGCACGATAAATGCTTGAGTCTAGTCGGGTCTGGGTTCCGAGATATGCGGGCTGCGATAAATCTCAGCTCTGCCCCTATTTTTTTCTGTTTCAATTGATGATAACAAAATAAGCAACTTTATATTTTTTATAAACAGGAAGTTTTTAAATTTAAAATGCACTACATAAACTTCCAGACGTGATATCAAATTTCGATTATGCCCCACTTTTACATATATCGCAATATGGAGGCGTCGCAGCATTTGGCAGACTTTATCTAATTGAATTGTTCGGTTTGAATGGCTTAACAATGTTTAAATAAATTAGCGAGGAACTGGCTAAGTCTGGCATCAAAAAGTGACAACACTTTGGCGTGGCTTTTAATGACTAGCCATGCATCTAGATAGTGCATTGAATTTTAATGACAAATGCACTTGAAAGAGTCACTGAAAAAGCAAAAGCAATGTATAATAGATATAATAATGAAAATATAGTTTGGGGAATTGTATATGAGGGGCAAATGACGTGCTGGGGGTTCCGCTGCAGGATACTTTACGGATGTGTGAGTGTGTCGAGGACACTCGACGGTGGTAAAAATACCACATGCACACACCAGTGCATATATATGTAGTATAGTATATCGCAAAAGGGGGTTAGGGGGCGGTGGGAGGTACTATGTCAAGTTCCATTGAAGCGAACTGCTTCTGTTGCAGCGTCAGCGTAAAATCGCAATCGTTTTGTCGAGCACAGTGCCAGCAGATACACAGATACAAATCCCCGATACACAGATACGAAAAGGACGCACACGGATACACACACACACTCTCGCGCGAAAATTGCAAACTTTTCCGAACGGCCTGGAAACTCGAGAATACCCTGCGTATGGGCCAGGATTCACTCACTCGAACTCATCGCCATATGTACATCCCTATTGATTGCTGCAAATACACAAATATTTGTAGTGCGATTTGCAGCGGCTCCATAGAATTGGAATAGATGCGCGTTTACGACCCAGGTCCTTGCTGCCCAAATGGTTAATGCGGTACGAGCGAACGACTGAGCGGTTGTGGCTATTCTGTGCGACTGCCAGCGAACGGAGACGGAGAGACGGATAGACGGAGACCTCCGACGAGTGATGACGAACGCTGCCGATGTGAGATTTTTTGCACCCTCGCTGGTGGGCAACAACAGCGGCAACGGCAGCTACTAGCAAAAAGAACCATAGACATCATTTAATTTTGAAGAACATTGAAAGATAAGGTAACTTTTCCAATTTGGTAACCACAAATTGCTTATCTTGGCAAGTGATTAGCGGGTATCGGGTATATAGCCAGCCAATATAAAATATATCAAGCAAAAAAAATATCTTAAGAGGTAAGAAAGTAGTGACGATAGCATCTTCCATAAACGAAATATAGAAATAAAGATTTGTGACGAAAAATTATTGTGCGTTGAAATAAACTTATACCACAATTAAGGGCTTGAAATTTTTCATGGACACACAATGTGAGACTTATTTTGTTTTTAAATTGAAAAGCTCGTCTTTAAACTGCAGAACTTCGAACTGAAAAATTTTTGAGACGTTAAAATAACAAATAAATGTTATTAAGTTAATAAACATAAAATAAAATATTTCTTGATTAGTATTTTGTTGAATTATATCTATATATTTATTTATTTACAAACTTTAAGCTTAAAGTTACAAACTACAATATAGCGAAAAATAGCAGTCATAGCTGCTAAGTTATAATTTATGTTTGTGACCAAAGATTTGGCATGGGTTCATATTTCAACCGTTTCTCCGAGTGCATCCAAAACAGCTACACGCGATGCATTGCACATTAGCAAGTGAAGCCTGAAAGTATGCAATGTTTATTTGCCAATTGTACAATGCGGAGTTTCATACTCACTGAGTCTGCGCACTTTGGATTTATTTTTGACACGTGCTGCGTCGGTATTTTGCACGCTGTCCCTTCCATTTTCCTCAGCCTTTTTACCCCTCCTCTGCTTTTTTTACACACACTTGTTGGTTCACGGCGAAAATTTTTAGGGTGGTGGGTGGTTGGTGGTTGGAATTTTCGTCAAGTATCTTCGTTTGGCCACAGGCAAGGTCACCACCTCAACTTTATGCGGTATCAAAACACATAAAATTAAAATTTAAGGGAAGGGAAAAAAACAAGGAAAGATTAGATAACACTACGAATAGTTGATAGAAATATATGTATATACAAAATTAGAAAAATTATGCTTGCTTTTGGTGTACACTAAATTCATATTTGGAAAACGGCAACAGTATGAATAACAAAAGAAAAAACAAATATTTGCATCATTTCTTTGCATATTTTTTTCAGATATTTTTTTAGAAAATATTAGATCTTTAAGAAGTATCAAATACCCCATACCCCCTCTTTAATATATATCTCAAATAAAAACAACCAGTTTTATTTTTTAAATAGTTTTCTAAAAATAGATTTTTTATTGTCATCTCTTTATTTTTGTAGCTATATTGTGATGCGTTTTGACTTTGAGAAAAGTGTGTGAGTGCCTCTCACACGTACGTACATATAATAAACTATATAGGGAGTATGATCTGATTGTGTTATGTTAGATACCCTACGTTTCTTTATAGGCATTCTCGTTTATCATGTACATCGAACACGTTTACTCTTATTTACAAAATATTTATCGATAAAAATGCATCATTTCATGGTTTTCGTTATCTTTTCCGTTACTGGTATGCCTGGCCAATAATTTAAATAAATTGGAAAATTGCATAAAACTAAGTTCAATGAAGAATCCTTTTCGAGTGTTGTAGTGTCTGTTTGTGGGTGATGTGTGTTGGGGGTTATAAATAAATAGTTTTGATGAGTCCAGATGAGTAGAATAAATAGACGAAATGGGGGCGATGTTTGGGTGTGTCATTTGTGGTGTGTGGTGGCATACATATGTGGTTTAGGGTTGCGTCCAGTGGCGCAATTGACAAACATCACTGGCTCAAAGGGGGCGGAATGCCGCCTTTGATAGCAAGGTGGCAATTGGGCGTGGCTTGGACGCAGCTAAGGTCATAATAAATAAATAAATAATTCTTTTTAAATATCCACTTAAATGCTAGACAATAATCGTTTCGAATGCGGCTGGGTACAGGTATAGCGATAGATTTTAAAGGGGTCGGAAGACAGTTTGTGGCAAAACATCGGTCAAAATGGTGACCGGAAGTGGTTGGTTTTAAGGTGTTGTAGCTGCTGCAAGTGGTGCAAGTTCCTACCACAGCGGCATGGGGCGTTGTCGGGCCAGGAAAGCGGGCAGGCTGGCAGCAGTCGGGGCGGGACAACCTGGAAATAAATTAAATCAAATGTGAATAGAACGTCATATTTAATAATAATAATAGTATATTATTAATATAGTATTTTAATATTCAAGTGAAATTGCATTGACTCTTATTAATAATTTAAGTTTTAAGTTGTTCTTTAATTTAAAACATCTACTTTTTTCTTTTGTTTGTTAAGTCCATTTACTTATCCCGTGGAATAAGGACCGTAACAAAATACACATTTTTGATTTACAAAAGGTTTTGCATTTTAAAACATGTACCTATTATTTTAGACCATTTATTTAAGTTGACTTTTCCATAAGCTAAGACAGAGCAAAAGAATCAGTATAACTTTTTAATCTTGTGCTTTTACAGGTCTTAAAGTAAATTTTACTTAGTTATTTAGGAATTATTGGAAAGAGAAAATAAAATATAAAGAATTTAGAATTAAATTATTCAACTCAGTCATATTTTTTTAAATTAAAAAACAATTGTTTAAAAATAAGTTTGAAAAAATCTTGTACCAATTTCGGGGCTTGGTTATATTACTTAGACTGGTGAGCCAGAAATAGTGATTAAACTTTTGAAAAACCAGTGAAAGGGAAACATTGGTAAGCAATTAAAGTATTTCTCATTGGTTACTTACGACAGACGGCGCAGGTCTGCTCGTCGGTGCCGTCACCGCAGCCATCCCGTCCGGAGCAGACGATGGCGGTGGAGCGGCACAGGCCGTTGCTGCAGCGGTGCGGGCAGTAGGCGTCCGCCTCCCGCCGCCCCCCGCCGAGCAGGCCGCCGGCCTCGATGAGGCGCATGAATAGGTTGGGGAGGGCGCGGGAGCCGCACAGGTGCGGCGGCTCGTCGCTGCCGTCCTTGCAGGACACGATCGCGTTGCAGTACTCGTACTCCGGCAGGCACTCGCCGCTGCCGCAGCGGAAGGTGTGCTCCGGACAGGCGTTGCCGCCCCTCAAGCTGCCGTCGCAGCCCAGCTCGTCCTCGCCATGCGGACACTGCCGCCGGCCGTCGCATAAGGCCGCCCGCGAAATGCAGCGACCGCTCCGCTGGCAGCGGAAGGACTCGGCGGGACAGCTCTGGCTCAGGCGGGCATTGTGGGTGCACTCCTCATCGGAGGCGTCGTTGCAGTCAGCCCGCCCGTCGCACACGAAGAACCACGAGATGCACACGCCACTCGAGCGACACTGGAAAGGACATACAAATAATTAAGTATTTTATATATAAATGAAATATTTAAATTAAATACTTGTCAATTGAATTTAAAGTTTATATAATGAATATTAAATTGAATGATTTAATATTAAAATATTTTTAATTAGAAAAGCTTCCTCTCGATTTAAAAGCCTTTAATTAAAGGCTTAAATTTAAGTTAAGTTTTCAGATTTTAAAATCAATTCCGAACATAGTAAAATGCAAAATTGTAATGTAAAATAATATTTAAAATAACTAAAAACCGCAATGGATGAAATCAAATCGATAAATATTTAATTTGAGTTTTGTACATAAATTAAGAATAAAATAAAGTTACGGTCAGACGGACAAATTGAACCAATTTAAACAAATTTGTCTTTTCATTTTCCTAAAACATGTGTAAAGTTTTAAAACTAAAAATCCAGTTTTCTTTGGAAGTTCATGGTCTATATAGGTAATTTTGTTCAAATCATTTGACCGTTTGAACTTAGCTTTAGAGTCTTGAATTTTGAGTCAAGAAATAGGACATCGTTTTAGCTTGTCTATGAATTAACCAAATTCTTTTTTTCATTTTCAAAAGAATTCAAAATTAATTAAATATATCAACTTGTTTTTCTCTCAGTGTAAGAACTCACCTGGAAGGTTCCCGGACTGCATCCGGTTCTCTCGGCGCTGCACTGCGTTCCCTGCTCTCCGACGGCGCAGTCGCAGACTCCACGTCCATTGCACACGGTGTGGGGATCGGCCAGCTGGCACTGGCGATCGCTGCTGCAGGCCAATCCCAGGGAGATTGCCTCCAGACCCAAGTCCACGCGCTTGCGAAGCTCCGAACCGGGCTTGATGGCGGCTAGAGAGGCGGAAGGAATGGCAGCCGGGGCCACGGGCTCCGGAGTGGGCTCATCGGCGGTCATCAGGGGCATCAAAGTGGTCACCACGGGAGCAGCGGGTTCCATGAGGGTCACCCGACTGGCCAAGCCCAACATGGTCTGTGTGGTGATCTCTACAATGTCGGCGGGATTTGGAGTGGCCTCCTCATGCGGGATCGCATGAGCTGCGGGCTCTTCCTCGATGTGGTTACTATCCAGCTCCTGCAGACCATCGATGCTGGTGGTGGATTCCAGGATCAGGTTGTCCGACTCCAGCTCATTGAAGCGGATGGCATCGGAGTGATCGGTGAGATCGAAGGGCAGCTCTTCGGGTGAGAGAGTGCGTTCCTCCTCGGACTCCGGCAACTTTTCTGTGGTGGCTTCCTCTGGCAGGGATTCGGTTTCCAGCGGTTCCTCTTCCTTGGGGGCTTCCGCCTCATCCTGCTGGTGCTGCTCTTCACCTTCTTGATGCTCCTCCTCATCTTGTTGGTGCTCCTCTACAATTCGCTGAGCATCCTCTTCAATTTGCTGATGCTCTTCTTCCTTTATGGGCTGGTGTTCCTCCACCGCCTGAGATGGTTGATCCTCCGCAGGCTGCTCTGGAACGGGGGTCACCTGCTGCTCTTCATCCTCCTGCTCTTCATCATTGGCTGCCTCGGCGAACAGTTCGGGAATGGCGGGTTCTGGCTCCTCAGCCGGCTGCACTTGCTCCACGTGATCTTGGGTTTCGTCGGCCTCGGCCTGCAGATCGGAAATGGCTTCGTGCGGTTGCTCCTCCTCGTTCTCCGAGTTGGCCTCCACCATGGGAACCGTTTGGGCGGGCTGCTCACCAAATGGCACTGGGGGTACAGTGCTGTCTCCCTCCAGCATCAGGTCGCTCAGAATGTCGGCAATGCTCTCGCTCTCATGGAAGTTCTGGGGATCCTTCTCCGGATCGTGCTCCTCGCTCACAATGGAAATGGGTGCTTCGGCAACTTCCGGGGTTAAGGTGGATTCGGCCTCTTCCGCTTCAATGGCAGCTGTGGTTTCTTCCTCAGGCTGGGAAATCTCCTGAAGATGCTCAATGCTGGTGTAGTCCAACTCCGGCTTGGCCAACTCATCCTCTTCCTGGGCAACTGGGGTTTCCTCCTGGACTTCGGTGACTGTCATTGGAGATTCCTCCTTTTCTGCCACTGGAGATTCCTCCTTTTCTTGCTCAGCCACTGGCTCGGGTATCACTTCCTCCTCTTCATTGGGCTCTGCTCCCTGGATAATGTTGTCATTCTCAGTTTTCTCGACCTCCACTGCATCCTGCTGCTGACTGATCTCCTCCAGAGTCGGGGCACTTTCACTGGCCTCGGTTTCTGGTTCGGACTCGGATTCGGGGGCGGTCTCCGTTTGAGCGGGTTCCTCAGTGGCTTCCGCAGTGCTATCTGCATCGCTGTTAATGACCAGCTCTGGTTTGGCCTGATCCGCATTCACCTGCGACGTCACCTCGTCATTAGTGGACGTGGACTCTACTTCGGGCTCAGTCTGTGGAATCTGCTCGGCTACCTGCTCGACATCTGGTTCGATCTCTTCTTTCTCGGCGGCAGACTGGATTTCCATCTCCGCCTGGGGCTCTGCAATTGCTTCCGACACTTCGGGCGTCTTAATTGCATTTGCATTTTCCTCGGGCTCCTCCTCCTGCTGCTCCTCCTCATGCTGCTCCTCCGCTTCATGATGCTCCTCCTCCTGCTGCTGCTTCTCCTCTCCATCCTGGTGCTGCTGCTCGTTCAACTCGGTGGTAATCTCAACAATTTCTGGTTCCTCTGTGGTCAGCTCTGGTTCTGTTTCCACTGGCGCCAATTCATCATCATTTGTTGGGTATGTCAATTGTTCGTGCTCTGCTTCGGTGATTGCCTCCACCTCCTGCTCCAGCTCCAGCTCCAGCTCCAGCTCTTGGACTGGTTTCTCTGTTGTTGTGGCTTCATCTGCATCTGTTTCTGCGTCTTGATGGACTTCCACCACCTGTTCGGGCTCTTTCTCACCGATCTCCTCCTCTTCCTCTTCCTCTTCCTCCTCCTGCTGCTGCTGCTGCTCGGTGACTTGGTCTTGATTTAATTGATTGGCTTCATTTAAATCATCTTCGCCACTTGTCGGCTTGATGTCGGCGCTTTGTTCCGCCTGATCGATCTCAGGCTCCATATCGGGCTTGGCTTCTGTGGCCGCCAGCTCCACTTCTGCGGCTTCAGTTGCTGCTGTTTCTGTTTTTGTTTCTGTTTCTGCTTCTTGTTCGTTTTCTTCTTGTTTTTCCACTTGTTTTTCTATTTCCATTTCGGTTTCTGGCTGCTCCGGTTTTCCCACCTCGACAACTTGGCTTTCACTCTCCACCTGGGCTGGCACTTCGATGTTCAACGCTTCTGTTGGCCCCACCTCGTCGTTGGCCACGGCCACTTCCAGCTCATGATCCCCCGAAGCCAGATCCTCTGGCATCTCCTCCCCGGCCGCATCGACTGTCTTCGTCACACTTTCGGTTTCAGCTTCATTAACTGGGATCAATTCTTCATCGGCCACTGTCTGGAATGCCTCTGGCTCAGGTTCGGGTTCGGGTTCGGGTTCTGGCTCTTTCTCTGGCTCTGGCACTGGTTCCTCGTCCTCCTCCAGCAGCTGCGTCTGGATGTGGTGCTCGGTGCTGGTCTCCGCATCAGTTCCGCTCTCGGTATCGATGGGCACCACCCCCTCGTTAGTCTGATGGGGCACCTCTGCCACCTTTGCGGGCTCAGCTTCGTCGACTGGCGATTCGTAATCAAATTTCATGGTGTCGTCGATGGGCGATGAGGCAATCTCCTGGCCACCCGAGGCCTCCACAGCCTCCTCCCCATCCGCTGCGATGGGTGCGACTGCGACTTCAGGCGCCACAGGCGACTCTTCGTGTTCGGACTGCTCTCCAGTCAGCTCTGGTACTTCTGGCTTGCTATCGTGCTCTTCGGCATATTCCTCATCGATCTTATAGGGATAATCTTCGGTGGGTCCAGCTTCGGTTTCCTGGTCCACACTAATGGCATTCTCGGTGGGCACATCTGCGGGTGTCAGTAGCTGCTGTACTCCAGTGGTGACATCTTGAGAGGCTTGCGTATTCTCCGGCTCATTTGCTTGTGGGATGATCGCTTGAGGTTGCTGTTGCTCTTCTTCTTGGTGTTTCAGCTCCTCTTCCTGCCTTTTCTGCTCTTCTTCCTGCTCTTTTTGCTCCTCTTCTTGTTTTTTATGCTCCTCTTCCTGATGTTGCTGCTCCTCTTCTTGGTGTTGCTGCTGTGTTAGTTCAGTTTCCTCATGGGCCATGTCCACAGCCTCTAATTTCTCGCCATTGTCCACATCGGTGACCTCAGGTCTCAGCTTGGTGGCCTCACCATCGTCCTCTTCGAGGGATTGCTCCTCCACACTGGCGGGCAGCTCATCTTCTAGGAGCAAGGGAACAGGAGTTGTCGTTGTTCTTCTGGTTGTTGTTGTGGGTGCAGGAGTAGTTGTCGTCGTCGTCGGTCTCCTTGTAGTTGTAGTGGGCTTGGGAGTTGTTGTTGTCGTCGTCGTCGTCGTGGTAGTACTTGGCTGCTCCACCTTCTCGATGGCCTGTTCCTGCTTCGGATCCTCCTGATCCGCCGCCGGGGCCACACAGAGACCAGCAACCATCTTGGCGGGACTCGTGCACTGGCAGCGTCCAAACAAATTCGGGATGAGGAAGTCACAGTGGGTGCGGGTGTCGAACATTTGACAGTGGGCGTGGCTGTAGCAAACGGCGCCAGGATGGGCAGCTGCATGTGGGAGATAAAGATCGGTCGCGAAAAGTTCTCGTGAGATTCTGTTTTTTTTTTTTGCCTGCCCTGACTTAAGTTGTGTGTGTTTTTCATATGTATATATTTAATATATATGGGGGCAATGGGATGTGTTATTAAGCTAACCGTAAACCGAACTCCAAGCACCAAATGCATATTAAAAACCCATCATAACCATCATGAACAGCCACACCAGAACAAGGAGGAGCAGCCGCAACAAGAACAAGAACAACATCAGAGCATTAGCCCGCCTTCGACAAGCCTAATAACCGTCAATAAAGTCAACTGCAACTGCATCAACCTCAACGCATAACCGAAAGAGAGGGGCAGAGAATAGCCGAGATCGGTGCAGAGAAAAAAAATTAAAATATTTTTCCCTGGAGATTTTATATTACAATTTTTAGAGCCTTCAAAAGAATAGTTAAATGAAAATGTGCTATTATGAATATTTTTAAGTAAATCTATTCTGTGTCACAATTTTAGGTAACGTTTATTTTTAAGAAATATCCTATTTTTAACCTAAATTTTAGGTTTAAGGTCACACTGCGTTTTCTTTTAGTAACGAGATAATATTTTAGACCTACTTATTCTTCAAAGTCGCTAGAAACAACTTTTAACTATATATTAACCAAATAAGTTCAGGTAAACTTTATAAACTTATTTGTAACTGTTGATTTACAATCTATTGACATGTTAAGATTTATTAATTTTCTTTTCTTTAACTATATCGATATCCCCATTCTTTCTGTGCATAAATGGCTAAGAAGGGGAACAGATGGGAACCAGAAGATGACGCTGAAACGTCGGTGACGTCGCCCATTCCCATTACTGTTCCTCATCAGCATTCCACTCGCCGATAACTGGCACTGGCTAAAAAGAGACGGCGACTGTTGGTTGCACCGACGACGGCGAAGACTGAGCCACCTGCGTGTCTGCCACTGTCCTCCGCTGGAATCTCAGCTCTGACCCACTTTCCGGACTGCCGCTCCAACTTGTTTTCACTTGTTTCGTTTTTGGCTTGCCAGCAACTTGCAACTAGCAACCAGCAAGCAGCAACTTGCAACTAGCAACCAGCAAGTTGCAACTAGCAACTGGCGACATGCCATTTACCATTTACCATTTCACTGGCCAATGCAGCCACCTGCAGTTGCCCTTTGGGCAGTGTCTGACCAAGGAGATCCATTTCATTTCCATTTCCATTAACCCCAGCTGGCATTCAATTGGACTGGAATCCGAGCAAGATCATAAATCTGTATACCCTTTGTATCCTAGGCCAGCCAAAAGTTGCTTTTCTCGCGGGAATTTCGGCCACAAATCCGACATTTGTCGGCAACACACAAAAGGCTCTGGCATTGGCCATTGGGGAACCGGTTGAGGTTGAGCGGTTGAGCGGTTGAGCGCTTGACTCCGAGGCACATAAAAGGCATACGGCCAGCGTGGCGTATACTTAACGAATGCGAAGCCTGACACTGACACTGCGCTCTGCCATTTCCACTGCCATTCCAAATGCGAGTAGCTCAAACGTGTATTGCCGCAGTTTGACACCAATATGGATTCGACGCGAAGCAGGAAGACTCAAAGAGGGTATCTGCAGGCCCCAAACGGTTGGCCTCATCTTTCACTTTTATATAACAGCATTGGAAGCGGACGCACAGGAAAAAATAGCACTATTCATAAATGATTAGGAAAAAGAACCTAAAGTTTATACCAAACTTTTCTTGGTGTTGGTTTTAAAATAATTTTTATAGTTCGTGTTCTAATTACTTTACTTTGTAATTGATATAAATTTCTATCTCTCATAAAATTTTTTTTAACAACCGGATTTTAAATGCCAACAAATATTTAATTACTTCTAAAGCCCTACAAAGATTTAAAATTGACAAACTCAATAAATGCTCAATAGATTTTGATCTAAAAATTTAATTTTTTTTAATTAAAATATACAGTATTTTTAGAGTACTGCAATTAAAAAAAAAAAAAAAACTAGACTCTTAAGATATCCTAGTTAATCATTGTTACATTTGGTACTGAATTTCTGTTCCATTATTGTTCCAAGCTTATAGGTATGATGATACATTTTTTAAATATGGAGCAAAGATTGAAAGATTTTCGTGTGTGCAATTGTATTGGCCCATCTTGGGCCAGAGCCGACGCCTCTGTGCTGGCCACCAAAAACGATGATCGATAGGCTGGGGGCCAATGCCACGGCCACTTAACTCTGGCCCCGCCCCCACTCCGCCCTGACCGCCCCCCGGGGGCAGCTGGTGTGACAGGTTGCATGCGAATCGCTGCACGACTGCAACTGCTAACCTAACCCACTTCGATTACGGGTAAAGCCGCTCTGCAAGATCTCCACGACGCGTGTGAAAATTGCCCAGTGGATCTGAGTATCTTAGTATCTAAGTATCTTAGTATCTAAGTATCTGAGTATCTGAGAGCTCTGTGGAGCAAATGCAGAGCGCGGCGGGATGGCTGCCATCGTGAACAATAATTTCCATCGAAATCAGAATAAATTAAAAGGCAGCTACCTCGGCGTTATTGTCTTTGGTTGAGTCGCCGCCGGTGGCCGGAATTGCAAAACTGTGTCAACCGCCTGGCACGCACAGATACTGAGCTACAAATGTATCTCAATCTGCGCCAGCATTCCTGCGGCTATAATAAGTCTATTTATGCCGTCGACTTTCATTAGGCGCAATACCAATTGCCATACAAAAAGCAAAATAACCATACAATTTAAAGAAGATATTTTCATGAAATGGAAATGTTGCGAGTAAATATGAAGTTTTGGAAAATTATTATTGTCTTTTTGCGGATGTTAACCGCCGTTGCTGTTCCACATAATTAGCATGCAATTTGGCATTTGGCGCAATTTAGTTTGAAATGGCCATTCAAGAAAATATTCTTCGTATTTTTTCTCATTTCGTTTCTAGCCGCAAATTAACACAGTTTGACTGGCTGCCTTTGTGGGTCATGCGAAATGAAATGGAATTTTTCGGTGGCTTTTGCTTTTGGTCGTTTTTGTCTTTCCATTTTGGCCAATTTTTGGGTGCAAGGTGTCGCAATGGAAAGTATTTTCCATGTTTTGGCTTGCGAAGGTGTTTTGGGCAGGAAGAAAGTGAGCCGAGTTGCTGGGGACAGTGACTAGTAGTTTCCTAGGCCTTATATAATGAATGCCACATAAGGCTATAATCGATGTATTTGGAAGACGGCGCAGAAGTTTTCACAAAAAACTAGTTCCGATATGCAAATAATGTTCATGGATAATTAAAAACATTTTTTTAAATAGCGATTCACTCTTCCTGCAACTTTCTATATATTTTATATTATCAGCAAAAGTTTGCCAATTATTTTCCGGTGTACCCGATGATCGACGATGTCAGAGCGGTGCACTTTTCCTGCAACTTTGTATGCAGAAGATCTCGATCTGGACTGACAGTCGTCGCAGCCTCCGTTGTTTGGCCGTGTGTCTGGGCTATCTGTTCATTATCTGTTTGCCGCATACTCTCCTATACTATAGCACACTACACTATGTATATTTGGCATACTTTTTCCCGCAGCCCGTGAAACGGGGAGAGTAGAGTAGACTAAAGAGCCGCCCGGTGATAAAAGAAGGGGAGGGGGGTTTGTCATATGTGCATACATAACTCATAAAGATCGGAGGAGATGGGAGGAAGTGGCTCATTGTTGGCGGTGGTTGGTGGTTGTGGTGGTGGCTCGTTAAGAGCGGCTGGCTACCAAACAAAAACAAAAACAAAAACGGGTAACTGAATGAGCCAATCCCGGAATGGGCTTGGGCCCGATGGGTTAAGGTGCATGGGAAACTGGAACAAGTGGCTAAATGGAAAGCCTGACAAGCCAACAGAATCTGGCACACCACTTGCCTCACTTGACCTGCGACTGAGCGAAATGGCGATAGGATGAAGTGAATGGCCAATCCCAAATGTGTGCAGCATTTTTGTCAACTGCATACAAGAAAAGTTTTGGCTTATGGCTTTTGGCTTTTCTTTTGCCGGGAATTCCAGCGATCTGTCTATCCTGCCTCTCTCTGTCTCCTAATATACATTTTTCTCTTTTGCGCTGAGAACTAATTGGACTTTCTTTTGCATTGGTGGCTAATCAGTGCAATTTAATTACGAGTCGAGGCAATTAGCCATGTAAAGTAGCCAAAGATACAAATCAAAAGGGGGACTTTAGGCTCGGAGGGGCACAAGAAAAAAGGCTACCATGGCAGGATGCCTCTGGTGAAAGGTTCACTCCTCTCCTTCTCTATCTCGCGCTCTCTCTCACTCTCTTTCTCTGTCTTGCCTCCTCTTTCTTTTATTGTTTTTTTGGTGAAAGTATCTCATAAATGACGGGCTTGCCACCTCTTGCACTTGCCACAAATACCCCGCTACACACGAAACAATTGAGAGGGGAAAATGTCCAATTAATTTTTATCACCAATTTAGTTTTCGATAGGTTCTAGAGCGGCATAAATCGATTTTAATTAAAGGCAGATGGTAGAAGTTTGTTTAAAAGGAAAATCTATGGGAATTTACTTCATCAGCATTAAATACTGATGATTATCTAATTCTTCAGCTTGTAAACATTTATGACTACCTCTCATTCTGTATTTTAATTCAACAAGAAAAATGAATTTACAATTTTATTTATTTATTTCCGTGTATACACCTCCTGGCCAACTCAATTCTTTGTCATTCAAATTACGCTTAATTAAATATCAAGCTCACTCTCGGCCAGCTGTTCTGCCACGCCCCTTTCGCCGCACATATACATATAAATGTATATTGAGTTCTTATGCTGTGCAATTAAGTCAGTAGCTGAAAAGGGGGTTCGAGAGTGAGGAGGGGACACTGCAACATCAGGTGAATGGCAATGACACGAACTGCGCCAGTTGCAATGCCTCCATGTCCTCGATCGTGCCTCATTGCTCTGCTTTTGGCGTGTTTAAACTTTAAAGAAGTCATTGTATGGCAAGGGGTGGGAAAGGGGGGGAGCGGAGAGTAGTTAACCCCGCCATATGGCCTCTCGATTCCAGTCAACATTCTAATCAGATTAACGCCACTTGGCGCCAATGTGCCAAAAGGAAGTGGAGCGAATTCAAACTAGATGGCTATCAATGCAGGGCTGGCAGCGATCTTAAGTACCCAATCTCAACTTATTCATTGCTCTAAATTTACATTTTTCACAGTCACTATTACAAGGAAATAAATAAATAAATAAAATATAAATTATACAAAAGTATTGTATAAACTTTAAATGACGCTTTAAATAAAGTTTTTTTTTAAATGGCTTTAGATTACGGAAAATAAAAGGTTATAGAATTCTTAAACTAAAATCTTTTTTGTAACATCATGCCTTTCCAACAGAATTGTTTAATAACGACAACGAAAACATCTGACTGATCGTCCCTCCAAAGATATTATCTTAACAGAAAATAGATTTTCTTAATGTCGTGCTGAAACAAATTCTAATCTTTTCCCCATAAATTTCAATTCTAGCTTGTCTTTATTTTGCTTCTTTATACTTTCCTTAGTCACTAGATGAGTCACAATGCCAATGACTTATTCCAAAGTCTGGGATATGAATCACGGGTTTCTTTTTAGCCCAGAGCCCTAGAAGAGTTCAGGTGCATCTCGGAAAGTATCTTAAAATGTATCTTTCACACATGGCAATGCACAAACAGAAACAGGAGAGATCGAAACCAAACATTTACATTTTACATTTAACGTTTTTACGTACAACGATCTGCAGTTTGTGGTGGCTGTTGGCTGGTAAATGGTAAATGGTATATGCCTGATGGTCGTTTTCTACCAGTTTGTTAGCCAGTTCTTGGAAGATTAACCAATTATGCGTATAATTAGTGACACGATTGTCTTGTTAAGGCCGGAGTATTTTCATTGTTATTGTTATTGTTACACAGCCGTTCCCGGTGTTATGCCCGTGTTAATTGCCAGTGTCAAGTGGCAGCGAAAGGAAAACCCTCTGCTGGTCCGAAGTGTTAACGAACGGCAAACAGGAAATAGGAGTGGGCTCTGTTCTAGAATGTAGATATATACCCATATGGGTGCATGCTGGGCCATTGCGTGACATTCCAGGAGGGGATTACGAGAAATGATAAGCAATCAGAGTGGGGATTGTTATTAGTCGGCTGCCGTCCGTTTATTGCAATTCACCAAACACCGCATACCGAACAGTTAATGTTAATGTTAATGTTAATGTTAATGATAGTGATAGTGACAGTGACAATGATATTATCCAGGAGTATCATTCGGTTTAGGGCCACAATAGCTGGCCGGCGATCGGCAGATACTTACGTCCCAGACAGGTGTGTTTGCGGAACTGCAGGAATCCCTCGACGCAGCGGCATGCCCCCTCCAGGCAACTGCTATTGGCCACTTTCATGGAACACTGTTCGCTCAGCTGGCAGTCGCCGCCAAGAAGTTGCGCTGCAGGCATAATCAAAGAGAAAAATATAATTAAAAATCAAATTAAATTTAATTCTTAGCCGATCCATTAAACGGAGTCGTTCTTGGGAAAAATTTAACGATTTTACACAAAGCCTGATAGCTTGATATTAACCTTGAATGCCCCATTAAGAGAAATTACAAAAATTGTTTTGTGTTTGTTGATGAAAACATTTAGGCCGTACAATATATCTAAAATGATGACGGTTCTAAAAAGATTTAAATTGAAATTTAATATATAGACATTTTTTGAGGTGCAATTCCTTTTTAGTAGATATTAAATAAAACATTAAATAGTTTTTAAAATATAAGTTACAAATAAGAAATCAATTAGCTTAAAAATAACCAATTTCTTAATTTTCGAATTTCATTTCAAATAGTTAAGAAAAACTGAAATCAATTTAATAAAAATATATTTAAAATTTTGTAAATATGTAAATAAATTTTATTATTGGTAGTACTTTTATTTAAGTAAAGATGCCTAAGATTAAAAACTGAGATCAATATGACCTAATTTTAAGCATTGTTGCTGGTGCCATTAACGTTTAATTCAAATAATAAAAGTAAATTTGGGTTTGGTTTGACTCTAGTAATTTAAATTAGCCATAATTTAACCCAGGGAATTGTCAGAATTCTTTTCTGTGTGTAAAGAAAGTTGCAGTGAATGCGACTAACGGTTCTTCTGTGGACAAACACACATCTTCGCCCCATTGTTTGCCCGCAAACATTCTGTACTCCCACTTTGGGGTTAGCCAAAGATTGACTTTGCCTACTTACATGACAAACAGCGCTTGGAATTCAACTGGACAAAGTAGGGGGCACACTCGCAGTATCCGAGGGCGGAGCAGCTGCTGCCCTTGATGAAATCCGTGCAGTCCATATCATGCTGGCACTTGTCCCCCAGTTCCAATGCTCGACTCGCATCCACAACTGTAACGATGATTAGCAGCTGAAAGGTTCAAAAGAACAGGGAAATTAGTCTTGTTTATATGCGAAACCTATTAAATATAATGGTAAAAACATATTGATAAATTTTAATTTTATGTATGTCCATTTATCTATATTAGAGTAGTCAAATTGTCCACCTTTATAAACTGAATTAAATACATATTTCTCTACTTTTTTACCCTTCATACCCTTATGTTGAGTGCAATATATAAGGCTAAAAGTAAGCAGCTAATAAAAAAGATCTCATTGAACCAATGTTTATCTTCATTTTAATTGTACACAGTTTTTGACCTTTTTTGCTCACAACTAACACAATCTAATTTCCGTTTGTGCCCTTAAATTATTCTTAATAACTATGAAAGGGGGTTGCTATTTAAAAATTGCACATTTAGCTCACATAACACTTAATTCCACAGGAATGTAAAACTCTTCCTCTACTATTACCTCCTTTTTAGAAGCTGCTATCAGAGAAATGCCAAATGACTTAACGACCTGAACTTTCAACAACCGCCTAAGATCTGTGATCTGTTATTTATTACATCACTTAAATCTTTCAATTAGGTGGCCAGCTTTGCATAAACCATGATTAAATCGGGCATGAGGCCTCAACCGAAATGAGCCACTAAATTGGCCGGTAAAGTCTTGACCAAGAAGAAGTCTTGTTATAGTGCCGAACAAATTGCCCGAGTACACGGAATACCAGCGGCCCAAGCGTCCGACGAAAGTGCCGTAAAATCTGTGGTTAATCGTAGCAGATCATATGAGCCGCAGTTGTTTCTTTTATGAATGAAGTGCGATGTGTGTAAGACTAGCTTGGCATCTGCGAGCGGGCTGTTGTTTTCGACGCAGACACACAGTTAACGTTATATCAGATGCTACAAAGATACGAGTACTGGAGCTGCCAGCGAGTTGTAAAACAAAATTAACAGTTGCCTGAACACCGAACACACGCCCATTCGAAGGTGGGGGCTGGGATTGGCCGGGATCTATAATTAAAAAAAAAAAAAAAAACAAAAAACAAAAGAAACAAACAGCAGAGCCAAGGGTACTCTGCTCTTTGCGTTTCTTTTGCAGTTAGAACTGGCTAATAAATAAGCTGAATTTTGTGGCCGACACACAGAGTGCAATGTACTTTCTGCTCATCGCGAATGAGCGCCACACGCCATTAATTACGGCCCCGACTCTGGAATTGCCATTACCTAACCGAAACCAAGAGCAAAACCAAAACCAAAACCAAAATAGATACAGATACAAGTAGAGTTAGGTAACTGAGCTTCATTTCTGGTTCTGGGTTTTGCATACTGGCATACTGGCAAACGGTACTACGAACTCCCCCGCCTTTGGTGTTGTAGTTTTCTGAATTTTGCTGAATTTGTTAACGCATTAAATCCAATGATTACATAAAGTTAGCCTCGGTTTAGCCTCGGTTTCGCAAGGGGAACTCCAATTCCCCCTGCCTCAGCTAATTGGTAAGAACTCCCCGATTTGGATTCCAATTCCACAGACACGCAACTCTTGGTCAATTCGTACAAGTTGAGACATTAAAACCACAGTTAGGATCATTTGGCGGAATGCAACTTTGTTGGCCACTTTGCTGCCTTGATTGTGATAAATGTTTATGTGAAATGGTTTTAATAAAAAATGTGAAAATTACTTAGTTGTCATGGGGCAATTAATTTCACCAGAAAAGCGGTTTTTTTAAGATTCTTGTATTATTAAATTTATATGGACTTTAAATAAATAAAATAGAAGTTTATGATATAAAAAGTGCAGGGATAACCATTTAATGAATTTGTTTGTGGACTATGAAATGAGTTTGGAAAACATTTTGTTTAAATATATTACCTATAAATTAACCAATTAAATTGAATTTCTATGATATTCATGAGATTTCTGTTGACATTGTACATTATTTTAATTTGGTGCTAAAATTAATGTTTATTATATTGGAAATGTCAATCTTTAACTATTGAATCTCTTCCCTAAACATTTAAATTGATATTCCATGATTCTTTTGAAAAGTCTATTCACAAATTAGACTTATTTTATTTTTTTGCTATAATGCCAATGGTTAATTAAGTAAAACATTTCCTTAATAGCTTTCTCCTACACTTTTATTTGACTATTAAAACCATTATATTGGGTTTATTGAACAAGACCCATTAGCACTGCTCTTCGGGGTCTTAAAATAACAATAAATAAATAAACTACAGCACATTATACCCATTCAGAGGTGTTTTCCCTCGAGTCTCGAGATCATTTCGCCACTCACTCGATGCTTGTTCAATCAAAACAACACTTGCAGCACTCCACAAGCCCTCGACCACCTGAGGAGTATCGCTCAATGGGAGCAACAGCACAAACACGGCCTCGAATGTGAAAAGTATCGGAATTGGAATTGGAATCGTAAACAGCCGCACCACAACCAGAAATGAAATGAAACCGTTCAAGCTCGTCGGCATCAATAAAATGTCAATAAACAGAGAAGAAATTGTTTAATTACGCTGCTTTTGAGCACGAGACACTGCTGTTTGTATAGAATAAAGAGAGAGGCCGCGCGAATGTGTTGGCCACAAAAGACGTAGTGTTTGCTTCGATTTGACCCAATAACGGCCGGCCAAGAGTTACTTTCGTTGTTGGCTTACAGTCGACAGCTACCAAAATAGCGAAGAGACAAGGGTAAATAGAGATCTGCTGGTTGAAGGCTAATAGCCGTCAAGCCATGTCCACCCGGTTATTTGTAATCCTCCGCCCGGCCATTCATCTTGCTGGCCAAAAGGCCAGTCTTTAAGCTATGAGCTGCCAAAAACCCATTCATCAGCCGGGCGCACTGAGTTGGCTTATTTATTTTTCTGCCTATTTATTTCCATTTTTTTTGGGGTTTACGGCCAGTCTGTGTGCTAATGAAGACCCGTGGCAGTGGCGTTTCCTTCTGGCCGCCGCAGTCATTGTAATTTAGAATCGTAAGTAGTAAAGGAACGGCAAGTCCGGGTTGCAGCGAAAAAAGAGTAAATAATTTTTCGTGTTTTACAAATTACTTTCGTACTTTTTTAATGATCGTCGGGCGCCAGACCGTCTGCTGACCTTTGGCCACCCCGAATGCAGGTGGAGCGCACAGATGCAGACTCTCCAGCCAAGACTCGATGCACACGGCTCGAAATGGGTTGAATGGGCCGACCGAGGGCAGCGAACATAATAGCAAACAACATCGAAACGGATAAATTGTTTGTTAGCCTTGGATGGAGTGGAAAAGCTGGTGGAAGGAAATTTTCCATGGCCCTTGGCCGATTGCCTTCTACCGAACGGAATCTGTTGGGCTAGCACCATTGAATAAATGCTTTATTGGATAGGAGAATCTAATTGAATTACAAAAGATGATTGAAAATTCTGGAAAAGGTTGAAAAGAGAACATTTGAAATGCAAATGATCCAGAAAATACTTTGTTCTTATTAATATTAAAAAAGTATGGAATCAATTAATGAAAAAATATTATCGATAAACCTATATTTAATATTGATTTTGAACTCTTGTTCAACCAAGACTTAAGTTTAGTTCTACAAAAATATTGAAATAATATTTTAGAATATTAACATTAGGTTTAGTTTTTTCTGCCACCTAAATGTTAAGCTCATAAAAAATAAATAAAATTGGCAAATAATAAAAAAGCTTTATTAAAGAAATTTTGAACTACGCAACGAACTTGACTCTATTAAGTTCCTACTTTCCCGGAATCAAAAAAATAGCCAAGTAATTTAATAGAAGCGTTTATTAATAGTCAAACTAGTTCCCATAGAACTCCCATAATGACTCTTCCCGCAGTAATAATGATTAAGTGCCAGGCAATGAAATTTTATGAAGCAAATAATTCACTAAGCTTAATGCGGCATCTTGTGCTTTTTTTTTTTGTTTTTGGCTGATGTTCGGCCCAGTAGAGCAGCAAAGGCAACTAAGACTCCTGACTCCCACCTTTTATTAGATTAATTTGCCCACATTACTCAGCCGTTGAAGTGGCGACCCCCAACCGAACAGAACCGACTTCATCATGATCTTCGACGCCTGCCTATCCATCTATCAGCTACAATTTGACCCAATGGCCGACTTCACAGCTCTTTACACACGAGAGAAATGAAGAACTTGGGCAGCAGCGGCCCACGATTGAAGTGCCCACGCCAAAAAAAAAAATACATGAAAAAAAGCAACTCAAAATGGTGCCAAAAAATGAATCTTTTGTTTAAGAAAGCGAAAAAGTGTTCGACAATGGAGCTGACCAGGTGACAAACATTTGCTTTGGCTGCCTTTTTGGAGCGATTTGAATTGGCAACGCCCCAAATGATCACTTTTGTATGGGGGAGGGCAACTTTTTGGCCAAAGATGAGTTTACTTACCGCTAAGAGCCGCTTAACCGTAAAAGCGTTGCCATTGAACATTGCGATCGCAGGTTGCTTTCTCGATGTTGCTGACTGCCTCGCAGTCGCAGTGGCCGTCATTGCCGCTTCTGAATATCCAATCTCCAAGAAGCTGGCTCGGATCTCCCTGGGAAGGCTTTTCTCGCTTTTTTCGCTTTTCCCTCCTTTTGTATGTTTTTTGACTGCTTTTTTCTTTCGATTTGTACCCACTGCCTTGGGTTATTTTGCTGGTCTGCGGTACTCCTCTCGTTGCAGTCGTTAATATATGTTTTGTGCTATGGAAAGGAGCCGTTGGTAAGGGGAGACTTGACTTAAACTCTGAACTCTGAGGGTCAAAAACGGAACGAAAACGTTTCTTCTCTTTCGTTTCGTTTCGTTTCTTTTTAATTTTTTTTTGTTTTTTTTTTGGGGTAAAGGAAATGCGCCCCACTAACAAGAACAAAAAAAAAAAAGAGGGAAATAATAATAATAATTTCTGTTTTATTATTTTGCAGTTGTCGGGCGAAGCGAACCGGCCGGCTTGCGGCTCACACGCCCCTCATTCGCATTCAATGGGCATTCGAGCGGCGCGCAGTCGCTCCACTTTAAAACGAAAGACTTAGGCAGCGAACTTGCGGCGGCAGTCGAAAACCCGAAAATGGGAAATTAACACCTGAACCACCTAGCTGTTCGCCACTAGGCCCTTAAACTTATTTCGTTTATTTTCCTCGACCGCTGTCTCGTGTTTTGTTTTTGCTATTTTCACTTGCTGTGACGACCTTTGTCTGTCTTCCCTCTCCGTCTCCCTCTCTCTCTCTCTTTTGCTCTGTTTTTCTTCGTTTTTTGTGTCTTTTTTTTATTTGGAATTTGGGTAACGTTTTTGTTGCCGCCGTTGTATCTCTGCTCACTGCCTGACGCTGTTATAAAATTTCATTTTATTGCAATGCATGAGTCTGGGCCGAAGAGTTCGAGACTGGGTCTGAGAATGTGGCGCTCTAGGGCATTACCGTTAGGCGGCTAAGAAGAGGAAGAAAAATATAAAAAAAGAGCCTCATGCCGATATAAAACTTCTACTAACTCCAGCATTTTTATAACTTAATAAAAATGGGAAAAAATGGGAAAAAGGGAAGGGAAAACGGAGCTGACAATGGAGCAGGGCTTAGGAGTTCGATTTAAATTGGTCTAAGGTGAGATGGCCTGAGAACTAGTTGTTGCACGGTGAAAAATGTGTGCCTCGTTTGCTGATTTTTGAGTTCACAAGTCAAAATATATCATGTGAATACTTAAACGGGGGCCATTTAAGGAGCATGCACTTGAAAGCATTTATTCATTTGTAGTTAATGCTATTTTTGAATTGACTTTTGAGCTCCACTTCAGTTTCCTCAGCTTATTTTATTATAAGAATGCATTTCACAGACTTTTTAAATACATTTATGCACAGTAAAAGCTCTATTTTATCATAAAAAATCTGTTAAACTTCATTTTAAAATATGAGAGATGTCTGCCTTTATTAAACAACCAATTTAATTCTCGTATTTCAAGAAAATCTTAAAAGGTATTTATTTAACTATCTAAAGCAAACAGTAGTAAAATTAAGTGTTTGATGAATGAGTTGTTTTAATCTAACTAAAACTCTTGCTAATCCGCTTTATCTTTCAAAACATATTTTCTAACAAAAAACCTAATATATTGCTATTTCTTTGAAAGCTTTTTCTAAGTCTCGAATTACTGTTGATTATTTGCACTTGGTCAAGGGGGCGTGAGTGGGCGTGTCTGGTCGATTGCCCGGTTCAATTTTTTGACCCAGTCAGCCGGGAATATGCTATTTCTGCTGATGCAAATGCAGAAACAGATGGAGATGGAGATGGAGATGGCGATGGTGATGGAGATGGCGGAGATCTTCCGCAATCGATCAGCATGTGCAAAGTGTTGGGCTGGCAGTGGTAACCGCAGAGAAGAGGGTCGCTGGCTGGGGAACAGCATTTTTAGTTTGCGGTTTTTGCGCCTGGTCTATCGGTCGCTGGGTCGGTCGTCATCAATGCGATGCGATGCAATGTGATGCACTAAGATGTGATGCCGATGCGATGCGATGCACCGACGGCAAGAGGCGAATGCAAAGAGCCAGCCAAAGACACTCAGACACAAGGCAAAAAAAGCAGCGCGATTCTAGCACCGTTATGCACCCAATATGGCGACTTTACCATTGCACCACCAGCAGCACCAGCAGCACCAGCACCACCAGCACACACCACATGTGCCGGAGTCGGAGTCTAAAGCCAGATCCGAGCTGGACTGGCTTTTGGGTGCATCTGCATCTGTTCGGTTCGGTTAGGTTCTGTTCTGTTCTGTTCGGTTCTGTTCTGTTCAGTTCTATGCTGCTAAGACAGCCACTGCCACAGCCACTGCATCTCCAACCGCATCTCTCCAGCAAACTGGACAGGAGAACGCTGCGCTGTCTTCACTTGACTGCCTTCCCATGTATGCTTGTCTATCTGGCCGCTCGCTGTTTGTTTGTTGGTTGGTTGGTTGGTTGGTTTGTTTGTTTGTTTGTTTGTTTGTTTGTTTTTCTGGCTGGCGAGTGTGTGTGTTGAGTGTGTTGCGCAGGAAAACTAAAATTACACTCAGTTGGTCAGCCCGATGGCCGCGCCTTAGTCCAATTCCAAAAAATACCCCTTCGTTCATTAGTTATTATTATTTCCTTCTTTTTCTTTTTTTTCGATTTCTGTTGTATTTTATTTGATTGACAATTTTTTTTAGCTACCGTTTTTTTGTTTTGAGGCGAAGGGTTTTTATTTGTCACTCGCGTCGCGGCACTTTTGGTATTCAGATTTGAAAATGTTTGGGGCTCAGGTCTTAAGTTAAGTGTGCAAAGTGCAGCCACATCACACGGAGATGAGCTGAGCTGGGCACGTCCGCACGTAACGATGGTCAGCAACGAACTGAAGAGGAGCCAGCCAGCCACGGACTTAAAGAACCAAGACAAGCAGCCGCGGTCGCAGTCGCCAGCAGCAGCAACATCAGCGGCAGCAGCAGCAGCCACAGCAGCAACAGCAGCAACATCAACAGCAACAGCAACAACTTACAACGGCGAACTGTTGGCTAAAAAGAGAGCTTTTGGCCAAAGTCAAAGTCAAGGCAGCGAAGCTTTTTAAAAAACGACAAGTGCCGAGGTCTTAACTCTTTATGTTGTTGCTGTTGCCGGCGATATTGCTGCTGTTGCTTTTGCTGTTGCTGGTGATGTTGCTGCTGCGCTGATGTTGCTTTTGCTGCTGCTGCCACTGCCTCTGCTCTCGTGCTGCTGCTGCTGCTGCTATGCAAATGTGCTTTATTTGTTTCTTTAATTATGAGTGTCAGGTCTGAGAGAGTGCGAACGCACAGATTAAGAGAGATAAACGGCGAAACGTGTGTACACCTACACGCCGAAATTTTAACTTAACTGCCCAGCAACTGCATTCAGTTCGAAATTAACCGTTTTATTTTACAGTCTAACTTCCATAGATCCATTCACGACAATATGGTTTTTGGCTTAAGATTTATTTATTTTAGATTTACTTTCCTAATATAAAGAAGTTAAATCTAGGCTTAGGCATAATTGCCTAAAATTTAAATAAGCTTGTTGCTTAAATATTAATAGTTCATTTAAAAGTATTTTTAAAGCCATAAGAAATACTTAATTGTGTTATCAAAATTTTGCTTCGGTCCATGAATTTTTTTTTATTTTGAATCATGTTATATATAGATTTAAATACTTAGAAAAGTACTCGATAAAGAAGTTCAACTGTAGCCGATTTTCGTTTGTCCACTTCCGTCACTTGAAGTTGAACCCGTGTTGCAATCGCAATGAGGCAAGTGAAGCAACTGAAATCGACTTGCGAAACGCTAAGAATAATCTTACAAGTGAAAAGTGCCGAAGCAGGGGTCGGTTGGATCCAACGCACTCCATTTGGTTAAGTCCAAAAAGTATACAAATGCGTCTTCCCTAATTGAATAATGCTATGGCTGCCCTCCCTTCAAGTCGTTCCAGCTCTTTAAAATTTAAAATTATAATTTAATGGTTTTAAATTGGTCGCTTGGGGTGTAATTTTCGCATTTGAGTTCATTTTAAACAAACTGTTTTGCTGCTGTCAGATTTTCAGATAACGCCGAGGGCGGTATTTAAAATATTGCTATGAAGGAAAAAATAAATTTTGCTTTTAATGTGATATTAAAATGTTTCATAAGTCACTCAAATTGCAATATATTTATTATATTATATTATAATCATTTGTATGATTCTTGAATAATTGAAATACAATTTAAAATAATAACTGTTATGGTTTTAATTAGTTGTTTGTTAAAATATATCAAATAAACATCTAAATATTAAAAAAAATGAATATTTGAACCCTTTGAAGGTCAGAAATGTATTTGTAAAGTCTAGAAAATCATTTATGAAATTAAAAAGATTTTTTAATCAATTTTATACCTATTTCTCCCTTCTTTTCAATAACTTTCTTCCGATAAACTCCTCAAACTACCTACGCATTCACCACGAATAAAACTGAGAGAACTCAAGTCGGGTGTAGACATCGCATATTGTGCCAAGTGGTCACTTCAAAGCGCTTTTGATCGTTTTTGATTTCACATTCAATTTTTTATATCTGCCCTCTTTGTTTCGCTCATTCTCGGCGAAAACTACAAAAAATTGCTTCGATTTTCGAGCATTTTCTGGGAGACAGCATCTTAATTTGAAGATTTATTTCAAGCACCGGAAGCGGAGCAACCTCCTCCACGAAAAAAGAGTTGATTGTCCCGAATCGAAATCGCATATTACGGGCATATAGATATGGGAACATGGACATAATTGCCGCTGATTGTCCACGGTTACTTGCTTAATTTTGCTTTTGCGCTTTCGGGCGAGGGCAATGAAACCGGAGTCAACGGAATCAATCGATTGGGACCGAGGAAATGGCAGAGGTTCAACCCTTGCCAATTACTTTTCTGAAGATACAACAAATCTGAGATGAACTAAGGAAAGTTTCCAAGATCAAACCGTGTTTAGTGACAAGAAAATTATTCTGTTAATTTATACTTGCACTGATAAGTTAGCTAATATATTTTTTGAAGCACTTTATAATTAAGCAAATTATTCTGTATAATCATACTTATCATATTAATGATCTGATACATTTTTTTCCATTTCTAGTGATTTAAGATATATGTGTATCCTTAAAAACGAGGTAATATGTTTTTCAAATAATAAATGTGATATTTTAATAAAAATATGTCTTTTTAAAAAATATTGTTTAATGTTGGAATAAATTTGCATTAATATCCAAAAGATTTACATTATATTCCTCTGTCCATCAAACGTTTTATTGAAATATAAACAAAATTATTTATATTCCTCTTTTAACATAATTTGCGGTAGGAGTTGAAAAAAACACGCATTTCCCTTTCTTTATTATGACTTTAGCATATATCAGTAGCATTGTAGGAGGATTGCAAAAACTGCAAACAAATTCAATAGAAACTATTGATGGAAAAGTTTCCTCTGGGTATGAATTTTGTGTTAAAAACCATGAAATTGTTATTGATGTCTTGACAAACAGACGCACAGGCGGCAACTCCCCGGCAGCCAGTGGCCATCGTCGCATTAGGAACAATGAAAAGCAAAAGTAAATCGAAATCGTAGCAAAGTCGAAGACAGTGCACTGGAGAAATGCTCATCATCGTCGGGAGATGTAGCAGCAACAGCAGCAACATGAACAGCAGCAGCAGCAAACATCGACAGCAGCAATATCGGTGGTGGCATCATTATCATGGCCACGATCATCGACGAGTGGTGAACAATTGAAAAAGTGCTTTTGCTTTGCTCTTGGGGCAACACGTGCCGGGTCTTTTTGGCTTTGGCTGCTATCGATCTCGAGTGCCGGTGTATCTGTCGCTGTCGCTGCTGCTCTGCCACCCGATCTGCCACGCCCCCCGCCCCTGACGTTAGCTCATATGCTCGTACTGCCCTACAAACACACATGCAGGTGCCCAAAAACAGTTGCCGCCGGAGATCTTAAACTTTCATTTATACAATTGTCTTCAAACTGTGCTGTGCAGCGCTTGCCGCTGCTCCGAAATGAAAGTCGGAACAAAATGGATTTGCTTTTGGAATTTTTGTTCAACAGAAGACACACAACACGAAAAAAACGAAAAAAAAAGAAGAGAAAAAAACAACATCATTCTGCTGCTGTTTGTTCATTTTGGGCCACTGTCGGCATTTGGTTTATTGCAGTTTTCTGGCCATGTGCCAAAGGAAAGGCCTCCGAACCTTTTGCCCACTTCTGTCCAATATCTCGTTAAATCTAAATGTGCTTTTCTTTTTTTTCGGGATTTTTTCGGGGATCGCTCTCCATCTCTGTGGCCGATCAACTTTCGCCGCAGAATTTGCAAAAACGGAGAGTTGCCTTTCCATGGTTCTCGGCCCATCTTGGGACCCTATCCCTGTCGGGTCATTGACCAAAGGTTTTGGCAAACAAAAAAAAAACCAAGTACGAAATAACAAACAAAAAATAGCAGCCCAAACTGGTTATTATAATTTTTCGGCTTTCGCAGAATCGCACGCAGCTGCCCGGACAGCGTCCCCCATTAGGTTGGCCCCATTCTCGGGCCGGCGGGTCCAGGAACTGGGCTTGGCCACATGACAGCCTCAGTCCCAGCCCCCGAATAGGTTCTACACTGCTAGAAACACAAGATCCCTACACGGATGGCCCCCTAATTGCTCATCAGTGATGACCAGTTTTTGACCACATAAATATATTTCTTTTAAGCGTCGAGCAGAACTCTTGCTTAGATTTATGCCCACTTTTAAGGATAATTCAAATCAAACAGTTAAATGTTCTGATATTTTTGAATAAGGCCTTCAAATATAATGCAATAAAATCAAAAACAAATTATACTGTTATATTTATATTTATATATATAAATGATCACATTACGATCTTACGATCCTTAAATTTTATTGTTCCATTTCATAGAATAATAACACTTTTTAGCATGCAATTAAATCAAGGACTCAAATAAAACATTTTATGTTAAATTTTAGGTAGTACCAGTATCATCTTTAACTTCTGGATCCTCTGGTAGTTTTATAACTGGAAGTAGTATTCAGACGAGTCATTGAAATAAAAACTTTAAATTATATTTCAAATGCTTACCGTTATACAATAAGATTACATAAATTACAATATTTTAAAATGTATTTCAAGCTATCTACTTTAAAATCTCTTGGCTTGCAGTCAACAACTGACAAATACCTCATTCAGCTTCCAATTAGATCGTTGTCATCACTGCTTAAGATAGGTTAATCGGCTTTGTCGTTTCTTCAGGTGTAACTTGTTTAGGTATTTGGCTTCGTGACAAATATGAATATTTTTTGAGAGCAAAGTGTGGGCCAGCGGAGGGGTGGAGTAAAGTCACGGGCAGCCACATCCACATCTACATCCACATCCCCATTTCCATGCCCATTTCCATCTCCATCTGCGCAGCCTCATCCCCATGCCTACTACCAATCCACATCGGAGCACCGCGAACGCGGAAGTATTTAACGTGTTTGTTTGTCCATGCCAATTCCACGGCTTCTGCCGCATTTTCAGCTCCAGCCTGAGCTCTGAATTCTGGACTGCAGTTGGAGTTTGAGCTGGAGAAGCTGGAGGAGCTTTGGAGCTCTGGAGAAGCGGATTGCGGAATGGCCCAAGTGGTTGGCTCTTTCGTTTGGGTTTGGTGAAAAGTGTTTTGTATGCAAATCATTGAAATTACATATTATGGCCAGTCTTGCAGTAAGTAGCAGTTGGCCTCAAACTCAAGCCAACCCACTGACATGCACCGTGCAACCGGCCAACTTGCAGCACAATCGTTGGCCGGCAATGAAGACCTCAAATGGCCAATGGAGAACGGTCCGGCCGAAAAGGAATTGGCTGTG